CCGCCCGCACAACCGAGTAGTGGCGCAAAAATGATCAGATTCACGCAAACGCCTGATCGGCCTTAGCGCTAAGTTTGGCTTCAAGATGACGCTCAGTCAATGTGACTTACCATAACCCGCTAAACTCTACCCGCAAATAGCTACACTTCGATCACATTTAAACGCAGTTAACGATGTACCAGAGGCTGCGAGGTTATTCGTCAACGCCCGCTGACGGAGAACGCATTCGCCACTGGGGGAAAGCAGCTGGCCTTGACCTTTGAAAGGTATGACCACGTACGAACGTTATGGCCCGACGGAAAGTGAATCGCTTAATATTCTAAACGAACAACATCGCAACGCGTGTTTGACGTTCAGTTCGCAAACGCTTCCAAGCGATGGCTGTACTTAACACGTGCCGTCACCAAGTAGCAACAGTCGCGCACGCCTGCAAGAAAAAAAAAATGCACAAAAAGGGGGAGGCTCAACACGTGCCGATACGAAAAAAAAAAAAAAAATAGGGAGCGCAGGTTGCAGCGGCGAATCACCACCAACCTCGTCTCTCCGCGTAGACAACGCAGCTGCTCTTGTGACGTTAAAGAAAGAAGAGCACCGAGATTTGCGCACGAACCCCCGCCGCTTCCAGATCGAGAGGTTGAGGAGCCATATTCAATTTGTCCTTTTTTTCTTTTCTGAACGGACGATTCTGAAACTGAGGAATATTCTTGCAATGTGACTTTTCATCAAGTCACTTCCCAATGGAGACGTTAATTACGCGCCTTCTAACTTTCATCTCAAAACCCCAACGCGACGAAAGAAAAGCTTTCTAAAAAAATCTTAAATACGCGATTGTATCAGGTGGCACGAACTGCATCATGACAATGCACGAACTGCATCAATTTTCCCACTTGGCATCGTTTAACGTGCCCAATCGAACCGAGGCCATGGCGCTTGGCAGATCAACAGCAGTCCCCTTCCCCATAGCTGTGAGCCTAACTGGCCGAGAATACAAGTACAAAAAAAAAAAAAAAAAAAAAACGTAAAATCAAGGAGTGCCACATTGTTGGTTTCCTTAACGCTGAAAACACGGACGAAATCCGTAGTAGAGAGAGTGGCCCTTCCCCAAATAGTTCTCGTACGAAAAGAAGCACCAGTAGGGCCTTGACATTTTTGGTGCAATGCCAAAGACAAAGAGAGAGAAACTCGAAGGTTTGTGTATTGTGGCACCAGCGCTGACACGCGTGGGCTTTCGAAAAGCTTTGCCGACACACCTTTCGAAACGTCGACTCCTAGAAACTGTGCGGACCCGCTCGTTGCATGACAAATCCGCTTGCAGAGAAAGGGAATTCTGCGTACGTGCTTCAACTTTTCTGATTTTTAACTTTAATTTCATTGTTCCGTCCCGTAAGCATGTTAGGCCACACGTCAACGGTGCTTATGCTTTTCGAGCTGCGCTACCTCGTGGGAACGGAGGAGAACGCAGGCTCGTTGCAAGACGCACTTTTCAATGGGGGGCGTTCAATGGAGTTGCAGAAAGCGAATGACAAACCAACGCACAATCTTTTGTGCGAATCCGTTCGAAACGAAATGGGACTGCTTTTTGCAACCCTTGGAGAGCCACGGGGGAACAGTGAATTCCGGTCAACCAGTTCCGATCTCCACGGGAAAACTATTTCTCCCGCAGTGAAGGGCGACGTGCGGATCATTTGATGGACACACGACTGGCCCTCTCCTTGCTAGAATCTTACACCAGACCCCGGCAAACGAGTGAGAGCTCGTCTAGCGCCAACATGGCGACACAAGCTGTCAGCGCGCGCACGCCCACTCGAGATTACAAAGCACGACGCAGATGGAAGAAGACGCAGCGTCGCAACACCAGTCGACAAGATGGACGGGCTCCAAAGGCCGCGCAGCTTGCACAGAGCTGATGCCACGTGCCCACCAGGCGACGGAGGCGTGGCCTGACGCGCACATGATCGCTTACGCGTGAAGACTGCGAATACCGCACGCCTTCTGTACGCCACACCGCAGCAGGCCATGCGAAGACAACGACGTTCGAGAGAGAAAATGCAAATCACGCCAGCACAATGCTAAATATGTGTATTCAAGACTGCACATTTGCGAAGATGCAAGCTGCAGCTTACGAAAGACGCGTCGCTTTCTAGAATCTGAATGTTCAACAAGTAGAAAGAATCGGTGATGCTCGTATACTGATGTCGCGTTACTGTCGTTAAACCCGAGTACAGCCTCCCATCACCTGCCAGATTTTCTTGGAGGCACCACGGGGACGTGAAAGACCCGTCGCGAACAATGCAGCACTTACTCCGACACGTGGGCCGCTAAAAATTGAGCGCATTTTTGGGTGAAACATGAAGGGACAGTAGCACACGCACACACAAAACGGGGGAAATTAAAGGGGAAACGCGAACAGCGTGGCTACCACAGGAGAAAAAAGGGGGGAGTTCTCCAGCGAACGAGCGCGAAGAGATCCGCCAAGGCCGGGAAACACGTGTTCGGAAAGGCTCCCACCCCGCGAGGCGCCGGAGAGTCTGGGCAGGCACGTCGACGGCGGGGCACCCGGGAAGAGCGCAGCACGTGAATCGCGGCACACGTTGCACGAGATGCGCGCGTTGTGCAAGCGCGCAGCAAGTGCGACGCACGCTGCTGCCGCTGGCATTGACGTCGGCAGCGCGTCAGCAGCAGCAGGAGATACCCCCCCACTCCGCGCGCACGGCCTTTGCGACCTGCCAGGATCGTCCGCGTGGGCAAACCTACGCAACGCGGCATATTTTTACCACCACCCCACCGAAAGACATGAACGCAGACCTCATTTAAGACAAGGCCAGTACACCTTCCCGATATTAAAAAAAAAAAAAAATGAAATCCTACTTTCTGTTGTTTTAGCTACAACTCCCGTGCCTGTCAACGCCGCTCTTCAAACCCAATACGGCTGTGACTCGTCAATTTGGTATTGATGCTCTCGCAAGATGTTCATGCGCCACGTGCTAATCGGAGTCGTAGCCCCCCAACCCCCTTCCTCAATAATGGCCTCCATCTGTTGCACGAAAATGTCGATTAATGAAAAAAAAAAAGAACTTTCTTCGCCGAACAGGAAGCGCGAGTAGAACAAACGCTGTTGCACTCTCTGTGCGAACAGTGACAAGCCATGAAGTAATGCGTACTGGGCGGAAACACAATGAAACAAGTGTGCGTGCCGCGCGAGCCAGAGACACACACACACACGCATCGGGGCGTGAACAAAGAAAAGCAAACGGTGGCACTGACTGAACAGTGTGGCTCCTACTACGCGATGCGACGACGCAACGCAGTGTTGGCCATAGAGGTAGTGTCTATATTGCCGGCAGATTATACGAGTTGACCGAATGCCGGCAGTTCCTTCAGATTAGGTTCACGCCATTCACGTTACAAACAAAATGTACTTGATATTCGCGCCACTGCCAGCGGCTACGTCGGCAAACGCTTAGAGGCCGGGTCGACTCCATCGACTTGTTTCGGCCAACAGATGGGAAGCTCAGGTCCCTGACAATGGTGATCAACCGTAGTGTTGCCATGCATCGGGGAGCAGAAGTAGCCAATAGCGGTTTAAAAGCTAAATATACAGCAGGGCGCTAGGAACTCGCTGGTTTATGGTGTATTATGCCAGCCACCAGCACTACAAGAGCAGCCATTATTCTGCCGGCACATGTATCGCAGGCATGACAGGCTCGCCAGATAAGTCACATGGTCATGGGAAGCCAATAGAAAAAAAAAAAAAAACTGCCGGCAAGTTCTTTTCTGGGATAATTTGCCGGCACTATAAGCGCGGCCGAACACAAATGCTCCGTTGAATTGAAGCAGGCGCATTGCGCGAAGAGAAAGGCTGCCAAGAAGGGCGCAGTGATCTACCTGCGATGATGCAACTGCAACGCAGGAGTTTACGACACGCAATGACTTCGCAGATGGCCCTCGCGTGGTTACGAACTACGGCACACCAACGCACAAACGAAGGTAGTACACACAGGATCAACCGAATGGCGTTTCAAGGGCGAAATTAAATACGTCCATCAGCGGGCAAACGCGCGCCGCGCCTTTTGTGCTGACGCCGCGAACCACACACGGCGAGAAGGGTGTAAGCAGCAGCAGCTAACTTATGAGCAAAAACAAAGATCGCTGGACCCCTCCTCCGCGAGCGAGATGGTTCGCGCGAAATCGCGTCCAGCGGTGAGCGCGGCAAGGCCACTGAGCGGATGAAGGCGGAGGGAAGTTCAAGAGACCCCGGCGTGTTCACGTTGGCCTCGCTCGAACAACAACCTTTCTTCTTTTCCAAGTAAGTACGTGTACTACCAACGAGGCGCCCGCCAGACCCCCGTTTCGGCGCGGCGGCTGGGAGGAGGCAGCTTTTTCACGCACCGTGAGATGGCCATGCACGCCCAAACATGCTTCGTCGCGCTGAACGCGATATGAACGTCCTGCTTCGCGACAGTTCGCCGATCACTGACGTAGGCAACGCGACAAGCCGCCTTGACGACAAGGCTCAGCGCGCGCGAAACAGCAGCGCCTCTTCATTAACGCGACCAGATTGTCGGGCCGCTAATCTCCGCACGTTATCACATCGCTGGTGGCTTTACAACTTTCTGTCGCGATCACGGGAAGGAGTCGACCAAGCGAATGCGTCGCGCGATAAGCGCTGTTCCGGGGAAGGAAACCAGAGTCCCGACGCTCTGTCGTCTGCTAGGGAGGAACGCCCCTCTCGGGCGGCCGAGTGCTTCGAGGGTTAGAAATGCGGCCTGAAACACGGAGCGTTAGCCCCACCCCGCTCAATGCGGGACTAGATATAGACACTATTGCCTACAAAAGGCTCCCCAAAACACTTTGTGCGGATCACCAAGCGCGCGAATCGGCACGGTTCACAGCTGATCGAGACAAAGCAGTGCGCAAAAAAGAAAAAAAGACGGGGCCGGTTCTCCGAAGCGGCCTCTCGCTAGCAGACGATACGCATTCAGTTCCGACAGTTTCCTCACCTGTGTGCGTGCGTAGATGGGCTTTGAGGTGGGAGCTCTTGCCGTAGACTTTGTCGCATCCTGGGAAGTCGCAGTTGTGGACTTTTTTCCCCGCAGACGAAGGTCCACGCACGCCGGGTGTGGCCGACGACGCCGCCACGATCGCTTTGTTCGAGGCAGCGCGCACCTTAGGCCTAACGCTGCTTACGGGCCTCGCGGTAGCCGAACCCACCGGCTCTTGAGGTACCCGCGTCAAGTCCGTCAGTATCCGGGCGATCATATACTTGGACGTGTTGTTGAGGTGAGATTCCTGCTCGTCGGGCATGCAGTCACTGCCATCCGTCGTACTTAGAGACAACGGACTGCGCCGATCAGAGTCCGAGTACGGATCGCGAGGTCGAGCGTTGGACATCGCCACGAGGCATTCGGCGGCCAGACTCACATCTATGTCCAGGTCCCTCGTCAGATACATCGTCATTGTGATGCCGGGTCGCAGGCAACGCGAAATAGGAGGACGATGCCGAAGGGCGCTAACTCCCACGTTGCCGCATGAACGCGGGGCACACCACACACACTCTCCGCGACGGCTGGCTCACATCTGCTACTTTCCCTCGTGGTTTTTGGAGGAGTGGCCGAAGCTCACCTAGCGGAGGTGACGTAAAGCTCAAGACTCGCTCTTCATTGGACGCGGCCTCAGTTAATACTTCTGGTTTATTTGTTTGTTTTTATTTGGTGTTTTGCGCTTCCGCACTCGCCGAAACGCAGCTACCTGAGCGCGTGCTAGCGTCGGCTGCATCTCAGGAGGTGGCGAGCGAGGATATATATACAAACCAAAATAAATCGTTACTGGTTGAAATCGCAGATTGAGAGCATTCGGGCGCTTTGAAGAACGTTTCCATCTCTAGGCTGCCAACAAAGAACTGCAAATTATTCTCCTGTTAGAAATCCTAAACGAAAATAATTTAGTAAAATCAATAATGAAGAAATATTCGGGATTTCCTTTAAAAAAAAGAAAACCAAACGAAATACATTTTGCTGATAATCATACCGTAATGCACACACACCGAAAATGTTGCACACAGTTCTACTTTCAATTAAACCTCATGACTGAACGCATCCAAATTTAATTATGCGCGGCTTACGGCACTTTTCCCGGCAATTCACTCGCTGTTTTCTGGCACTGCAGGTGTCACGGTGGTGCCGACAAAAGGCGGGCACATAGTGCGACAGGATATTCTACGGTGCGAGATTTTAGAAATTTTGTGTGGACGGCAAGGAGTTGCCAAGAACACAGCACCGCACTCGAGTGCGAAAAAAAAAAAAAGAATGGGGTGGGGAAGTTATAGGTAAATGGAAGCTGTGCCTACCTAGCAACACTATAATGAGCGGGAACGAGAACGCGTCGCGGCAATCGTCTCGATCGAGCTTGAGGTCTGCTCGCGCTAGGTAGAGGCCAAGCGAAACGACCGCGGCGATACGAGGTCGCGACGTCGAAGGCGACCGCGCCTCCCTCAAGGATCGCACGTTGGCGCCTCCGGGCCTCGGGCGCGAAAACGCCGGAGCGTGACCCCGACTTCTGTTCTCACATCTCGAAAGGACATATTCGCCCGGAAATACGCGATGAATTCGCGGCCGTGGACAGATAAATAATTCCTCACGTTTCTCCATTTGACACTAAGCAAGCTGCGCTATGTTCTCTGTCCAGTGCAGCACGGGAATGTACTAACACTACGCGACGTTTGCCGAAACGAGTCCACGTGATAAGATTGCCCGAGGGCGATGCTGCAGATGACGAAGTGTAACGTGATACGCCAGAAGTTCTGCATCCACTACTATCGAACGCCGCAGTGTATTTTAAGCTCACGTGCACCTTTTTGTATGTTCCTATCTATTTTTTTTTATCCCTTGATCCCCTTTCCCCAGCGTGGTATATCAAGCTGGACGCACGTCTGGTTGACCATCTCTTGTGGCTCACACCCACTGAGGGTGATTGGCCAAGAATTGAGTGGTCTTATAAAATTTTAAAGCAATGAATTCATGGCTTTATAAAAGCCACTCTTCCAGATTTCGCTGTGATTGTGCTGTGTTCCGCGCAAGCCAGGCGGTTTTTTTTTTACATCTCAAAGAGCTTATCACATTGGTGCATTGCATTGAAGAAAGACAGGTATAGAAGTAAAACAACCATTCCATGATGCAATGAAAAAATGTTGAAGAAAGGTTGGAGCCTTGAAGACGAGCCGACTCATCAAAATCTTGGCTATACCTACACCCCATGTTCCAAAAATTTTTCATCTTCCCCTGAACTGCCTTTTCTGGGTTATTTGATGTGTATCATACAATTGTCGCTCCCAAATGCAAGACAATAGATTTGATTCTTTTTATACATCTTTCTGGTAGTGTAGCCAGAACAGCCCGATAAAAACAAGAGTTGCATTTTAAGGCGCATTGACATGTACGGTTTGAAACTTCATTTCGAAAAGCTGTTGCAAAATTAAGTAGCACGAGTAGTCCTTAAAGCAGAGTACTTTATGCCCTAATGTTACCACAATGACGACAAAGAATGCCATAGTGAAGTTCTCTGTATCAATTTCGACCACATGGCATTTTTTTAACAGGCACCAGAACCACGGTACATGTGCCCTTCATAAACTTCACAAACGTGAGAGGGCAAGCAGCACGCTAAGAAACGAGTCCAGGACCTAATGGCATAAAGCCATTGCCAAGTCAGTGTGGAATTTTCTTGCTTTCTTCACAATATAGAGGAACAGTGACATAGCATACTTTTTACACTGCTTTTATTTATGCAAGAAAGATCTAGTTACAGTGCAAATAGGAAAAGTTATCTGAAACAGATAAAGCTGTGAAATAAACAGGCAGCAGGGTCAAATGCTCTTGCCTTCAAGCATCACAAATGTGTGTACTAGCATGCACGTTGAAAGACTAGGCAACGTTGAGCTATGTAAAATTTGCTATTTCTGCACAAATGCCCTGTGCCTGGTGTGGCTGGTAGTGAGGTGACAAGTAAAAAAAAAATTCACATTCAAAAACTTCCAGTAATGGTTGCTCGCGTGGTCAGCAGAGACAAAGGAAAAAAATGGATAAATAAATATATAAATGTAAAGACATGGGGTGAGAATTCTTAAAGGACCGTACCATATATGTGTTTGCAACATACAGAGATACTGACTAAACCAATTTTTGAGGCTGAGTTTACTCTTGATTTAAAAATCTCTTGTACACAGAGACCACTCTGAGCAAGTATGAAATTCAGTAAATGCTGATAAAATATTTTATTTTGACATTAATGCAGTAAATCTACTGACATCGATACCAGTGCAACATCAGGCTGAAGTGCCAATACTGTTGACTGCATGCCCCAGTATGGCTGGTTGTGACGATGTCAGGTACTCTATCACATACAAAGTAGCCACTTGTGCATCGCCAAAAACATTCAATGAGGCCAACTGTGTGCCACTAATAGATCAACGCAGCAGAGTAGTCATGAAAATGCCACAATATCTGGCACAGGCATGTGGCATCTGGTACCACGGGGGTCGCTGGGGGGTGGGGAGCAAAAGCCCCCTTCAATTTCACCGGCATTTCACCCCTATGCAAGCCAAACAGACACTCCTGCCCTGCCACGATGATGCAACAGGGGTTTGCAAGCCCCAAGACAAAATCGATATGAACTGAAACTATTAACAAAAAGCGTGCAATTAATGTTTAAGGGCGCACTCACGAGTCAAAGTAAATTTTTCTACGTCCTTCAGGACTTGCTCTTTTATCTGACAGAAAAAAAGTTCAACGACTAAAAATTTGTGTGTAGGTAGCTTTTTAAGGTGCTCGCTTCTAACATATACAAAGTCTAAGCTGTTCAAATTTCGATACAACTGATTCACACACACAGCCATCACTATATTGTAGCTGCTACTACGATAATGAGACATTTCTCACTGAATAATAGAGGAAGAAACTGCTGCGTCTTATACAGTAGATTTTTCAGTAAATGGAAATATGTAAAATGAAACTACTGCTTAAACGGAGCTTCTGCCTCTGCAATGCTTAGTTTCGGGCTCATATTCTGCATTCATGCTCACCTCTCCGTAAATGGAACTCCTGTTAAATAGAACATATTTTCCCGGTCCCTTCAGGTTCCGTTTACCGAGAGTCTACTGTATAGCCGAACTTCGATGTGAAATTATACTTTACGTTTCCACAGCCATCAGCATCTTGAATAGCAAAAAGTAACTATTGTGCAACTTCAAACATATGGAACAACTGAAAGAGTGCAACAATGGTTCTCTTTGCAGAAAACTATCAAGGCAAAATGCAGCAGAAAAGATCCTTCTCTTCAAACATATCTTCACTCAAAATGCTCAAATGTTTCCCCACTTCTTTTCACATTCAATGGCAACATGATTCCCCTTGCCTAATGCCACAAAATTTTTTTAAAAGAAAAAGAGAGAGAGAGAGAGAAGCCAGAAAGAAAGACTGGCTGCTTGTAAGCAGTAGAAATGAGGATTTGGACGAGTAGCACAGCATTTAAAGCAAAAGTGCATGCAAGCAACAAATGAAACTCTCGTAAACATTTTGAAGCAGAGTTCACATTAACTGATGCAATAAAATGGACGTCATAAATATTATTGAAATGTGCAATACCAGCCATATGAAAAAAGATCTTTTTGAGAGCAACTTTGCATTCTCCTTTTAAAGAGACTGCGTCAATGGTTCAAGAAAGCATCGGGCCATTAGCCCACATACAAGCTCTCTTAAATGAAGCATCCTTAAAAATGTTTTCGAAGCATTGAATATTACATACATGCCCAGATTAATGTTCAACTCTTACTGTAACCTCATCATACAATATAATGGCAATGTTGTAAATTCACCCATTAAATGCCAAAGTGTTGATAAGTTTGACTAACATAATTTGACAGGCCGAAACCTCATACCAGCTCAGAGGAACAAAAAATACGGGATTCTGGAATCGCTCTGACCACATGTCCGAAAATCCGGAACCATCAATGAGGCAAAGCCTTTTTTACTGTCTTTGTAAGAGAAATATACTATAAAAAACCGGGCAAACAAGACATGCTTAGCCTTTTGGAATGCCCAAGGCAACAATATAACAATTGGCTTTTCAAGAGCACTTAGCAATAAAGTATAAACAAACAACCACTGAAAACTGATCATTGCATTTCGTACATTGACTACTGCACAAGACCAGAAGATATCTCACTTCGTAAATACTTCGAGCATTCTTTCACAATTCCAACAAGTGTACATTCACTTGATATACTTATCACACACGAATTTGCAAACAAATGCTGAACGATGTGATCTAAGAAAAAACATTTGCTAAGTCACAGTGTCTCAGATTATGCCTTTATCAGAGGACAAACTTTATGTAACTGTGGCCTCGTTTTACTACAATAAAAACATAGAATGCGCCACCGAATTCTGGTACCAGAGCAGCCAGCAAATAACAGAGAAATGCATAGGATACATTAAAAAGTGAAAGTGTACCAAGTTCAGATGTAGCAATACATTTGAAAATGCTCTAGCATGGTTTTCATGTGTCTACGGAGTCTTGGTGTGGATTTAAGGCAGTGGCAAACCAAACACCATGGACCTTCTTTTTGATGTACAAATTGCAGAGATTTGCATGCATCTGAAGTGAATTCATTTAGCTGTGCAATGCTCACTCGGCTGGCAAGGTTTAATAATGAAGAACAAAAATAAAGCACTACGACTACGAATCATCAGAACGAATAGATTTGTGACACTCTTCAAAACCCACATTGACGTAATCTACAGAGAATGCCATGTCTGCTCTCATGTGACAAGCAATAACTGGCCGTTACAGAAGTTGCCTTTTAGGTGACGAACTCAACGGCACATTCCACAACAGTGCAATGTCGATATAAATATCTTAGTGCATGCAAAATATGACAGTCAGACTGTTTCTTTTGCACATTCCTTTCTTTTGGCTTAAGACAATCGGCTTATGCTTCAAGCAATGCACACCAGAAAGTTCCAAGCTGCGTTACTGAAGTCAAGACACAAACGAACAACACTGGGAAGTGATTTCAATTACTTGTCGAACAGGGCAGTTCACTGAAATCACACACTACGTGGTGAAGTAGCCAATGACAAAGCCAGCTACTTGTTCCATTTGCTTCTACAAACTGCAGAACGACATCGCTCAATCAGCTTAACAAAAAAATGGTTTTCTCGAGCTGTTTTCATCAAGAAACAGAGAAATTGCATTTCTACTAGTATGCTCTTTTCTACAAAGCTAAAGTGTCATTATGAAAGACTGTCTTTTTCTCCTGGCTGGTGATGGTGAAGACCTTTCTACAATGGCTACTTTTTGGCAGCAACAACCTTGGAACAAATTTCAGATGTGAAGTCTGAACACGTGGCGTTGCCCCCGAGATCGGCGGTGAGATACTGCAGCAAAAGAATGAGGGAGAAGCCATAAAATGTTAGCAACAGCCGCTCTTACAAAGGGAGTTATTGGTTCACAATAGCAATAACTACCATTGTACAACAGGTACAGACAACCTCAATCATGCAGCATTAGAAGCATTTGAGACAACATCTCAGTATAAGCAAGGCCATCAGTGTACTTCTCAAACATTAAACCCATAAAATCTGACGATTACTGATACACTCTTGTCAAATGAAGCCTGTGTTTTTTTTAAAATGAATTCGAACACAAACACAGTACAAGGCATTTAATTATAAAAGTTAGCTTCGGTGTAAGGTAGTAAAAAATATAAAGAAAGGAATAACATAAAACAGTTATACTGACAGCAGTGCAACAAGGGACAAGGAATAGGAAGTAACAAACGAGTGCTGAACTTACAGCTGAAGTTTACTTCCGAAACGGAGCAGAATATAAAGAAAACAGACACATGAACAAAACATTGCAAACCAATATTTGCAAAAAAAAACAAAATGAGGAATCAGCCTACTGAATATTGGTTTGCAATCTTTTGCTCACGTGTCAGTTTTCTTAATATTGTGCTCAGTTTCAAAAATAAACTTCCGCTGAAAGTTGAGGGCTCATCTGTGTTTCTCCCTATCCCAAGTTGCGGTGTTGTCCTAATAATGAACCACCAACTTGCTCAAGGATTTGCTCTTTCAAGTGAAGGAGTTGTTTGCAGTGCAACAAGAAATGGATACATGTGCAGGGAACACAGGCTGCCAAGAAAGGGTTGTCACAAAATTCATTCTACTGAAGCAACTTGAAGGCCAAATAATGAATCCAAAGTGAGTGCTTGAAGAACGTAATGTGCTGTGTGCCACTAAGTCATGGATTCGGGCACCAAGAATTCAGTTTTCTGACACTTTAGTCAGCCTTCAGATAATTAAAACACCAACAATTAAAGAAAAACACATGATGCTATATATAATGTTTCTCATAGGTGCCAAATGGCAGCTACCAGGAATATATATTCTCTATTTTTCATTTAAGAGAAGCTGAATAACAGATGCTTTTCTCGTTAGGAGTTGTTCTTTCCTTCGAACTATGGTTTTGTCTGTGTTTCTTAATAGTTTACAAACTACTAACAAACGTGCAATATACATATTTTGTCATGTGATGCGCTAGCGTGAGCTAATTTCAATCTGCAAAAACCTTAACTCTGCTTTGGCCAGTGTACAAGACGTTGCTTGAATGCCTGAAAGATTTTGAGCAGCTAAACTAGTGAACAGCAAAAAAAACCGTGCTGCTTTGTAGTACAATATTTCGAAAAGAAGAAAAGGAGGGGGGGAGGGCTTCATCGGGGTAAGAAAATTTCAGATTTGTCACAGAAAACTTCCAATCTTGAGGAGCTCATGGAAGTAATTACAATTGCTACACACGTCCTTAAACTTCGTGGGGTACGTCCTGTAGTGTCATTAAAAGATCTACTTGCCCAGCTTACTATAGTGCCTTGTGTGCTTCAAATCCCAATATTTAGAGCCTTATTATTTCAGACTAACCAATATCTCAAGCAGTGTTTTGGGTATCAATGTGGTGGTAGACATTCCAGCTGCAAAATAACTTTTCGTATTTCAGCAAGTGAAGGTACGAGAGAGTTACGCACAATGAAATTTCACTTTTTTAGGGGTGAAACAGGGTACGTGGATTTAGGAGCAGTCCTGGCAGCAGGGAAAAGTGCTTTTTGTAGCACGCTTGGAGCAGCCAAAAAGGCCTTTTCATGAAAGTTTCGGTACGAGGGAACGTTCACTGCAGCTGTAGCCCTGTTTTACAGCACTTGTGAAGCAACATTTGTCCAATGCTGCATTTCTCAAACTCTATGCTAAACTGCGCAATAACCTTATTATTGCAATATAAATCATATGGGATCTTTCGACGGGTTTTTGCCATCACCCTCATGCCGAGTATAATGTCCAAAGTGATAACATCCAGCGGCGTATCGCATGTCTTATCTGCGGATAAAAGCGTGCGAGTGGCCATGATGAATGCGGCTGAAGCAGAGATCGAATGAGCAGGACCATCTCCGTCACTCTGAGGATGCATACAATAACACACCTCAATTGGGAGACCTGCCATAGAAGCACAGAGGAAACAGCCCGCCCATCTTGAACGCGCTTGAAAAGAACCAAGGGGGGGGGGGTCACTCGAGCAGCAACTGTGAACTTTGCTCCTAAAGGCGATGTTGCGATACACACTTCTATGTGTTGCGTTCTCATTGCGAAGTGACTGTGTGAAAAGTGTGGCTCTGCCTGAAGTGGTTGTACGTATTCGTTTAGTACACCAGCGTTACAATGCAGACTTGCGCGAGACCAAATCGAAAAAAGTTGCCAGCCGCACATCGTACCCCATTACAATTTCTTGTTATCACATTAATTGCATCAACCCTGTATTGAGACTCTTTTTTTAGCTATGTATAACTGCTCATTTTTCACTTTTTTTAAAAACCTGAACGCACGAGCGTCAACCATTGAATCAATAAGTGCCGTATAATGAAGCACAGCAGTGAAATGAACCACAATACGTGTGAGCACTCGATGAGTAGTTTTGTGCACCTGTGTTAACTATGCTATTCCGGGAACTGGACACCACCTTCTGCTTTCAAGCACAGTTACCTTAATTTTTGTAATTTTTTAAATGCTGCCATCAAGATACTGAAAAAAAAAAGTTTCACCATAAGGGTGAAGCAATGAATGATATTGCAAAAAATCAAAGCGGGGAGTTTTAGAATAGAGTAGCTAAGTTATCATTCGTTGTAGTCATCTGCTAGTCGTCACTTAATGGGAGCCCCCAACAGGTTAGTGTACGACGCAAGCACAGTGGGGCGGCACACTAGCATAAAGCTTCGAGTACAACATTTTATAACTCCTTGGTGTTATATAAAATAAGACTGGCAGCTAACTATTTTGGATCAGATATTGTGTAACGCTACAAAGTGCTGGTGTGAGAGAATATGGCCGCACCAGGGAGAGATGCTCGAGGGCGCAGAACGTAAAAAGGTTTACGAGCCGTTCTTGTTGATGCCTGCCGTGATAGCGTGAGCTCCGGCGATCACGACCGCACCCACAGATTTAAAGTTCACAGCTGCTGCTTGACAGATCACAGCCTTGATCAAACTAAAACAAAGACCATTTCGATGAATCTGAAATTATTTACGAGCACAAGGCTTGATGGCTGTCGCGCCTTGCTGCTAAAATATGGTGCTGTGGCGCAAAACGGCACTGATAAACGAGTTTGGCGCAACATGAATGGCTCGGCGCAGGACTGTGCAGACAAACATGTTTGGCACACAATGGCGCAGCTATTTCACCCCTGTTTTTTCCTCCTATCACTTCCCAAACACAGAAGTGAGATTGTGGTTAAACCATGTGGCATGCACACTCATTACTTTTTATTTACCTGCCTTCAGCCAAGCTCAGGTTCTCTGGTATAGATCCTGCATATGTTATTTGCATTTCCAGCAAGTCAGCTGGGATCATGCAGCATTGGCGCGACAGCAAACATGCAGCTTCATTCACATTTGGCTAGAGCTTCAAATGATGGTGACATTCATTTGATAACCTGAATTATAAAAGTTACCTTAAAATGCTTCGTAAATCATCGCGCTTTAGACCATTATTAATGATGTGTAAATCAATGAGTGTGCTGTTTACCCATGGGTGTGGCTAATGCAGAGTACGTTGGCATTTACAAGGTGAACAACGAGGTGCACTACATGCTATGATGAGTGCTTAGTTCATTTATACCGCCAATGTATGTGTTACTAACCATGAAGAAAGTGGTCATTCGTGATATGTAGGCTTGTGCAAATATTCGAATGAATAGTACAGTATTCAAATTTAGATAATCAAAAATTTCGAAGCATTCGGATTGAACAAATAGGTGTACATTTAATCCGCATGTAACCGCTTGAAAAGGTGGTTTCACTGCAATGTAAAATTGCTAACCCGTGAAAGCACCTACTCAAAGAAATCAGCTCTGCCGTGAAGCCTCTCTTTCAGCTCAAAGGGGCCCTGCGACACTTATTGAGCATGGTCATAAAACTCTGCCGATCGGTAGTCCAGGCTACCGAGAACACGCGAGGCAAATATTATAGTGCAGTATGGGGCCTGATATTCGCAATAATTCTCAAAGTCGGCTAAAAATTGTTCTCTTTTCTCAGCAAATGACACTACAGGCTCAAAAATCACTCGTCGCAGTCATTGGCAAATTTGAGCATGGCGCACTCGGTCGTTATTGGGGCTGCCACTTGTCCACCCGTACGTGCGTCATCGCACTGAAACGCCGCGGATTCGAAGAAAAAATAAAGGATAGAGAAAGAGTCACAAGGGTCACAAGGCACAAGTGACGTTTTTTTGCCCCGTGCCATCCCTCTCTGCTTAGCTTCCAGCTCTTTTGTTGAGACGAGAAGAGAGAATGCAATTGCAGCATGCGACAAATCTTTGGAACTCTGCTTGTACTGGACTGATTCTAAAAATCAATTCATCATTTTATTAAGCTTGAAAGCTTGTTATGAAGGCTTACATGCTCTAAGTAAGATGATGATGTTTGGTGTTTTGTGGCGCAAGGGCCATTTGATGGCCAAAGAGTGCCAGTTCATGGGACTGCTCTAAGTATAGTAAATTTTAAAATGTTACGTATTTTACACGTTATCACTCGCATCCTATCTAAACTGAAATCCCGCTACTACTCAAGGTTGTTTCGGCATCGCTAATTATATCGAAAAAAAAAAAAAACACTGTGCAGGTTGGTTAGGTCATCATAAATATTTCCATTTTTTCTTATATGTAATACATTCCATTTGAATTCGATTCAAAATTATTCAACCAAAGTCACTACTCACTTCGAACCTAAAATTAACTATTTGCACAAGCCTAATGATATGCAATCAATCCAATTACGTTTTTCATTCAAGTACTCTTCCATGTATCACTCTCTATTAATACAAATATGTGCATGTACTTCACTACTTTGCTTTCTCAAAATTAAACATCTTACTTTTATGGCTAAGAAACAATAACAAGATGGGCACTATGCAGCCAAAAGGTTCAGCAAGTTCTTTGATAGTCTACTTTATAACAGTCTTTCAAGTTTTACCAGTCTATTAGTCTATTTTGTGTTGCATTTTGTGCTGCACAAAACAAAGGCAGCAACATTCTTCCAATACAGACACTTCGTGAAGCTTAAAACCATAGCTTCCACATCTATATCTTTCATATCATTGGGACAAGCTTACACAAGAAATCTTGGAGGCGTTGGAAATAGCAAGGCTCGGCAGCAGGTGTGTGAGAAGGCCTTCAGTTGCCTTGACAGGCAAAGAAATCGATTATTGGTCAAATGGTTGTATGCGCAATGTGTATGGTTAGCAGCGGCGGTTCTTTTTATGACAGGTTATCATGAATTTTATCATTTTTCCATCTTTATTTTGTTATAATATATAGCATTACGCACTGTTAACAAACTTTGTTTTAAGTCAGCACTGTGGTTTGTGTCCTGTTCTTTTTTTTAGCACTGTTTTTATATTTGCCATGTCGTACTAACACACCCAAGCATCTACTTTAGTCACAGGATAAGTATGTATGCGCAGATATACGATCCACGAGTCCTCAGCAAAATACGAAACCATTAAAGGGGCCCTGCAACACTTTTTCAAGTAGCCATGAAATGTATTTACTAAAGGAGGATTGCCTCATGAATTCACTGCCGAAAAGTTTTTTAGAATTCGTCCAGTACAAGTGGAGTTACAAAGATTTGTCGCAAGCTGCAATTACATTCTCTCTTCTCTCATCTCGACGAAAGTGCTGGGAAGCTAAGCAGGGAGGGATAGCACGGGGAAATAAATGCATCATGCACGCCTCGTGACCTTGAGCACTTTTTCTCTCTCTCTTTCTTTTATCGAATACATGGCCTCTAAGTGCTATAGCGCGCATGTGTGAGAAAGTTAGTTTAGTGTGGCGGCCCCAGTAATGACTGAGCATGCCATGCTCAAATCAGCCAATGGCTAATACAATTGCGGTGACAAGTGATTATTGAGCTTGCAGCGTCATTTGTCAAGAGATGAGAAAGCAATTTGTAACTGACTGAGAATTTGTGAATTCCAGGCGCGTGCTGCATCGTAATGTTTGGCTTGTGTGTTCTTGGAAGCCTGGACTACAAATCAGCATCGTTTTAGTGTCCTTCTATAAGTGTTATTTTAGTTTCGTTCTTCTGGTGCACGTATGCGGGCATGGGTTCGAATCTTACTTCTGTCTCTAAAGGAACAGACAGTCTTGTTGGCTAGAGCTGCACCAACTAATAAAAATCCGCTGGTGGTTTATTTCCAGCCTTTTTAAAGCGAGCGATTTCACCGGAGGGAAAAGAACACACACACAAAAAACCCTCAGTGTGACGTATAAGCACTGATAAGATGCAATCTGGTATACTAAGTGTACTCAAAAAGTGTTGGAGGGCCCCTCTAATGCAGCTGTTCAGAACTGCACGTGAAATCGGATAGACGCAGGCTGCAATAACATGCAGCACTGGATAAGTGGAGTGACTCCCGATGTCCTGAAAATGAAATTAATGAAACCCTAGTGGCCACTTTCCTCTAAAACCACCCTAAAGCCACCCTATATAGGATGGCTGCATTTAACATTTTGCAGCAGCATCGGTGGAGTTTGAGAGCATTTTTGCCGTTTTGGAATGGCTTGGCATAGCAGTTTGCTGATGCAGCACTTTGAAGCCACTGGTGCAGCTATACTGTGCCTCACTGATTTAAGAACCCCATGTCTACGTGTAAATCTGCTTTTGCAAGGTATAGCTCATTGATCTTTCACCTTTCCTTCTCGAATCGTGTCGAAGCAGGCAGCCTCGATGACATCGGCAAAGTTTGTGAGCTTCATGTGGCGCAGCATCATGACGGCACTGAGCAGAAGTGCAGTTGGGTTAGCCTTGTTCTGGCCAGCAATGTCCGGTGCTGTTCCATGCACCTGTAAACCATTAAAACACACACTTCCCATGAGTGACACTGAATTGCATAAGCATGGTATGTCATAAGTATAACCAACTGAATAAGTACACCTTTCCTACAGGTACATAAATAAAAGTGGTAACTTTCTTTTCCTCAAACTTAATTAAAACCAATTTTTTAATTGTTCCAGGACTGTGTTTGTTGACAACCTTTTCATATCAGTAACGTAACCAAGCTTCATGGATGTTAAAGCAGGATAGTTAGAATTAAACAAAATATGTCAAATACAAGGTATGACTTAGAAGCGCTTTTCTTTCCCGAATGTGTGTGTGTGTGTGTGTGTGTGTGTGTGTGTGTGTGTGTGTGTGTGTGTGTGTGTGTGTGTGTGTGTGTATATATGCCAATTAATAACCTTGAATTCAACCAAAGCATGACAGCTAACTTTAACACAAAAATGCATGGGCTATCCTTGAGTTGGTCTTATAAAGAAAAAGATTAAGTTTAATCACATGTGCAATCAGCACCAGGAGCACTTTTTGTATCCTGTACTTTGGCATAAAGAGATCAATAAAGCAAGCCTCTAGGTGTGAGATGGTCTAAATGAACTTAGAAGACCAAAGAATGCCAAAGGGTGCGACATCAAGCATCGTGATAAATTGGTAGAGTGTGCCAAAAAAGTAGTTTATGATAAACCACTATCTTGTGGAAAGTGTTATGTCAGGCAGACGGGCCGGTGTGTACACAATAAATTGTTAGATCATAAGGCATCTTTGGGAAGGACACCTGGTTCAAATCTTTCGTTACACTGGAGCGAGTGCGGCTGCGCGCTCTTGCTGTCTGGGGGCTCGCAAGAATAAAAGGCAAGATTGCACGAGAAATAGAGGAAGGATATTTTATTAATAGATTAGGTGACACATGCGTGGCGAGGCCCTCCATCCCATTACATGACACCGAGATGGATTACTTGAGTGCATGCCACTAGCAAATTTTTTTTTTTCTGGGAATATGACATGTGACTTTGTCGACCTGTATATATACGTGTACGCTTTTACGAATAAATTTAGTTGACAGTTTGCGCTTGTCCTTCTCTTGTGTTTCTTTGCGGCATATCTCGTTAAGAATGAACGAACTCGCCCAACAAGTCACTTTGCAAAGAAAACATTCAAGACAACAAAGGCAACACCACTCTTTCATCTCAGCAAAAGGAACTGAGGTCTGCTGGCATACTCCTTTCAGAATGAGCATGAAAATCTGATCCTGCTTTACAGTAGCACTTTAGTGTGTTCTTTGGTCTTTGCAACATTATCACATATTGATTATTGGTTTAACTTTGTCAATTCTGGATACAAATAGGCATGCAAATTTAGTTAAGTAAGGTTTCATGGCCCAAGAGTGTATGAGACTTTACTGTGCCAAAGAGGGTGAAAACAAAAATTTTACTATAAGCAGCGCCAGCTGCGGTTAAAACTCATTCAAACACTCTATCACGTTAAACAAACAAATCAAGCCGGTCATAGGTTGCATAGCACATGACCCCCTAAAGCAAACATAGGGTTGAGTGACACGTTAAACTTATACAGCAAGCACACTGAAGTGCTTTTGCCTACGTCCTCCCATGTATGGACACATAACCAATATGTGCAACACTGCTGGTGGTTCATGGCATTTATCACATCTCGTCTGTTCCTCTTCTGATAATAAGTAATTATGCCTGATGTGAGTGTCTCCCTTTCGAAGTCGACAAAGTATTACTAAGATGAACCATTCTGATGGTAGGGAGATGATTTGGGGAGATGATTTAGACTTTACCCAAAAGTTTTGAAGAAACGCGACGTTTCGAAACCGACTTCCTTCCTCAGGGGTGACTGCGGAGGCTCCGTAGCAGCGGCGTCTTCAAAGCACTCGCGGGGTGGATAATGACCCCCCCCCCCTTCTCTCTCTCGTTTTGCCGTGGCACGCAGTCCATGTGTATACATTGGGGGAAGGGTTCTGAGAGAGCGGTTGATGTTATGGGCTGTCCTCTGTAAGTGCCACGACTCGAGTAATAACCTTCTCCTCCAGTTCGGCTCGCTTTCAAGGATGGCCGTCGCTTCGAAATTTATCCGGTGATCCAACATCTCAGCATGTACGGCGACTGCGCTGCGCTCTTTGCAGAACTTCCGCACATCGTTAGCGTGTTGCTTCAGTCGTTCCGGTAGGTTTTTCGTCTCGCCGATATATGAAGAGGGGCACTCGGCGCACGGAATTTTGTAAACGACACCGGGGGTCCTGTCCATTGTTGGCTGGTCTTTTGAGCAAGGGAGGAGGCGGCCCAGCGTACACGAAGGCACGTACGCACTGCGAACCCCTTCCTTCTTGAAGAACCACGCCAACATCTCACTGGTTCCCTGAACGTATGGAACCAGTACGCGTTTCGGGGGGCTGACAATTAAGGTTGATTGGTATTTTCGTATCCTCTGTTGCTCTGCGTGGCAGGTGGCGGCTTGAATGAAGTTTTTTTGAGTATCCGTTTTTTCTGAGGTTCGCAATTATGCGGGCCTCTTCTTTCTTTCGCTCTGTGTCGTTGGAGCATAAGTTTTTAGCTGATGGTAGCATTCCGATGATAGCCTCTCCTCGAATTATACTGGACAGCTCTGACAAGTTGCAGTTTATTGTACTATATTATTTTGCATTCACATAAACCATTACGGGTTGGTACCTTACGGAGACCTTGAATTCAACACTTAGATACGTTTACATTTTCAGTACAGCAGACTCGCAGTAAACGGAAATCTGTTAAACAGAACTGCTGCATAAATGCAACAAGTGCTCCGGACAACATTTTTATGGTGCTTGCATTTTCATCCCTTGTTCACCTCTCAGTAGACGAAACTCCTGCTAAACACAACCTATTTTCCTGTTCCCATCAAGTTCCGTTTATTGGGAGTCTGCTATACTGAGATGTCTCACTGCTGTTGCACACTTATAGTACACTCCTTACATTTCTGGAGATCCCAACGTGACTAGAAACACAGCAAAAGGCTATCATCTGACCTTCACTTAGGTAGGCATGATACCAATAATGGCTGCTTGTACTGAGGGTGCGCGTTCAAGGTCTTGAGAGCACAACAAGAGTCTGTACGAACCACCAATTTCTTGGTGCTTAGCACTCGCTATCTTCTGTACTGCCATCCACAAAGCATAATACTCAGCAGTGCACACTTAGACTAACAGTAAAGCATGCAAAGCATCAGCAAAAGCATCCCAACACCAACTAGCTCTTGCAAACATTGTTTTTATAGCTCGGTGTGGCATCCAAGTACAGTTGACAGGTGTCGTTTTCAAATTTATACAGAGTACTTTTCTATACCCAGCATTGTAGAAGCTCCTGAGTCTGTTTCGCAGTGAAGCTGATATTCTGTCCTAATTACTGAAAAATATATTCCCTCTCAATCTTGCAAATAAACAGTGTCTTTATGAATTACTTTAGTCATGTAAAGAGGCAGAACTGATAAGGGAAATCAAATATTTTAAGAGAGTGGTGTGTGTCTGTGTGATAGCAATGGGCTTTGGTATAAACATGGATAATAAGTCTTTGTTGGTAGTTAGCGTTTGGCCATTGTTTTATGCTTTCGTTTATGTGCGTATTGCTTGCATTACAAATTGTCACCGATGCGAGCCCAGCAGGCCCAGATAGCCACAATTTTTCTTAATTCTGCATTTTTTATTATCTTCAGCAACGAAACTGAAGGGAAACTGTTAAATATTATTCTTACATGAAGTAGAGCTTGAGTAGAAATCTGTTGCACTGTTGTCGGTCAAAATTACGTCAAACTACACTACTCTGAATAAAAAAAATATATATGTATAGTGATAAATGCGTCACATAAAATGCCTCACCGATTCAAAAATAGCACCATCATAGCCGATGTTCCCACTCGGTGTCACTCCAAGCCCTCCAACAAGACCAGCGCACAAATCACTGCAAAAAGAAATACAGTACAGCTGTAGTGATCCACTCAGCGTGATCATATAAAGTGTATGTGAAAGCATGCGCAACCGAACAGCCATCATGATCCGGCCCACACTTACCTAAGGATGTCGCCATAAAGGTTAGGCATCACAAGAACATCAAACTTGGATGGATCTTGAACCATCTGCAAATTTATAAAACATGCAAGTGCAAATGAAATTATAGTGAATGTCTGTGTTTCCTTCTCACACAAGTAACACACAGCGGTGAGCACTGTTAGGGTGAACCCGCGAGCGAGTGGCCGATGGCACAGTCAGTGCCGGGTAAGAACCATAACTATCATCTTCACTGTGGAAAATAAGTAGGAAATCTCAGAACATGCCTAGCCCGTGTAAACTCCAAGTTGACCTGAAAGAAGTATCATGTGAATGGAGTACAGAGTGAACACGCGCAGCAGCGATACCATAACATGAACTTAATCAGTATCACGGCAACTTGTAGGAATTGAGGCTAGTCTGTCGCCATTATGCAGACTTTTTACACCAATTTCTGCCATTCTCATGTCCTAACATGACTCTCCCCTTTTCGGCAGTCCGTCGTGCTGGGAGAGCGGGAGTGACATTTACCCCTCTCACCCAGTAGCGGCTCACACTGGATCTTGACTGTGGCACCACCTTGCGAGATGTTTTCACGGGCGCGCGCTCCCAATGGGAGTAGGAGAGACCCCCCAGGACAGAGAAGGACGAGCACGCTTATAGGGGCAAAGCTCCTTAGGGCGTGGGTGTGTCGCTCCTCCGTATGTATGTATGTATGTATGTATGTATGTATGTATGTATGTATGTATGTATGTATGTACGTATGTATGTATGTATTGTGGGCATTTGTTACACTTACAAGTCAGGCAGAAAACATCAAGACGCCGATGCTTTATCTCGTTGCCCGCTTCCAACTACCCATATGAGCGTTGGTGAGAACTCAACCGCCACATCTACTAAAGTTCATACGCTTGCATCAATAACGCAACCCTTTTCGGACGACGAGCCAACATTTATCTCCCGCCAGCGGTCCCATTCATACTGCAGACGCATGATGGACCACCTTTCGGGAGTTTCTCATCCACCAAACGCGCGACTCTGTCGTCAACTCCTGCACATTAAGCTGGACAATGGGGTTCTCTACCGCCACGTCTACGACCCTGACGGTCAGCGCTAGGTTCCTGTACTGCCACGCTCTCTTCGACTTCAGGTGCTCGAAGCCTTCCACGACGACTCGACTGCTGGTCATCTTGGTTTTAAAAAAAACTCTTGACCGCATTCGATGTCGTTATTACTGGCCTGGCCTTTCTTCTAGTGTAGCTCGGTACGTCGGTTCCTGCTACCCATGCCGGCGTCGTAAACTCCCCACGTTTGCACCTGCTGGACCTCTACAGCCACTTCCGTGCCCTTCAATGCCTTTCGAAGTTGTAGGTGTTGACCTTTACGGGCCTCTCCCCGTCACATCTGCTGGCAAACGATGGATAGTGACCGCCGTTGACCACCTGACACGCTACGCTGAGACTTCCTCTGTTATTACAGGCTCAGCTGTGGAAGTTGCCGACTTTATTCTTCACGCCATAATCCTACGTCATGGGGCTCCTCGTGTACTGCTTAGTGATCACGGCAAAGTGTTCCTGTCACAAATGGTAAATGAAGTACTGCGTGCTTCTCGAACTACTCACAAGGCAGCTTCAAGCTACCACCCTCAGACAAATGGTGTCACAGAAAGATTTCACCGAACCCTTGCAGACATGATAGCCATTTACGTCCAACCCGACCACAAAAACTGGGATACTCTTTTACCATTCCTGACATTTGCTTACAACACCGCCGTTCAGCGAACAACTTGCTACTCACCGTTTTACCTCGTGTACGGACGCACCACGACTACCTTTCTCGACGTCTCCTTCTTTAGCAGCCATGGGAATTCATGTCAGTCTTCTAGCGAAGAATACATTTCCCGCCTGGCCCAGTCTCGCCATCAGGCTGGCATCAATACTGAAGCGAGACAGCACGAGCGGAAGATCATCTATGACGAATCCCACCGCGTTGTGTCTTTCCAACCTGGTGACGAGGTGCTGCTTTTGACACCTATTTGCACTCCTGGTCTCTGTGACAAATTCCAACCACGCTTCATCGGGCCATACATTGTTTTAGAACAGACTTCGCCAGTTAATTATCGTGTCACACCACTCGTCGCCCCAACAGACAGTTGCTACCGCAGCAAAGAGATTGTCCACGTTTGTCGCATGAAAACTTTCACGCGACGTTCCCCGTCACTTTGACTTACGGCGACCAGGGTGTCCGCTTCCAAGTGGGGGAATTAGTGTGGGCATTTGTTACTTACATCGTCCTCATCCCTGCATAATCACAATCACCATCATCCGCTTGTCTCTTTGTCCTCATTGCCACTCTGGGTCATCATCATCGTCATCGTCTGTGTACTGGCTCTGCCCGTTCGTTTTGCGAGGTCTTTCCTCAATTAAACGCTGTCGCAACCAAGACTACCAAGACTTCATAGTATGTATGTATGTAGCCACCAGTGGCACATAGCCGCTCTAGAGTGGGCATGAGCCACTAGTGGCACATAGCTGCTCTAGAGTGGGTATGTGCCACAGGAGATGTGAGATGGCAGACTTGGAGTGTTCACTAGATGGACGCACGGACGGACAGATAGACTAGCAGACGGATGGACGGACGCGCGGACAGATGGACGCACGAATGGTCGCATGAACGGATGGATGGACGGTTCGCCTCACTCATCATCATTCACTTCGCGAATATGCTGTGATTTTTTCAATTCCTGTCCATCAGCTCCTTTGTTCTTGGAGCTCGCTCGGACTTGCCAACGGAGCCTTGCAACCATGATGAATGCTTACCTTTCATATCCCCTTCCCAACACTAGGCCGAAAAGTGATGCAGTATGTTTGTGAGTGGTCTTACTACGCCAAGCCGTGCCTCTCGAAACCAACACAAGCGGAGTTTGCCCTCACTCGAGCAATAGGGCCCTGGGGTCACCGATCGTGAGAGTGAGCAGCATTGTCACCGAACCCAATCTTGCGGGTTAAGTGTACTCTAGAAACTCTAAATTGTAAAAGTAAGTCTTAGTCACACAGGTACAACTTTACCATTGTGGATGTCAGATGGCAGGATAAATTGCATTGTCAGCAGCATCTGAAGCCTTCATTATAAAGTTATAGACTTTTTAGTGTGTAGCTGCAGACTCTGTAATGAGGCTATGGAGCCTCAATTACACATTTATACTAAATTTGGTGTCATGTGCAGCAAACCTTTGGACGCAAAAAGAAGACTCATCACATTGCAGAAAGTGGAGGAAGATTGTGTAATCACATCTCAGCATACTGTGTTGTCAAGAACTTTAGCATGCCACAGAGCATGAGACAATGTTTTGAATGACCATGTTGGTGAAAAGTGCTAAATCGGCTTTTCCGATTGTTCACATCTTCACTTGTCCCGAAGAACGCTGGGAGGGCCTTGATTTCAGCAGTGAGTGCTCTGAAGCATGAATGGCATCTAGTGTCAAGGTACCACTCTAGTACATTTTGATGATGTCATGTATCTTTCTCCATGTTAAAACATACACTAGACTTGGTGCACGTTTTAAACTGGTTGTAAAATCCAAAGACTTCTTTTTATATTACTGGTATTTAAGGACATTATGTTTGAGGAGATAGAGCAGCATGTTCCCATGCTGCCGTTTATTGCAGGGGAAACAAGCGAGATCCCCATGCCATGCTCCGTCCCTTGTTTTCCTCATCTTCAAGCACGCTATGTTCGCTGTTCTTCAACTCCTGGCCCATAAGTTGTTTCGGGGACATTTCTAGCAAACACAAATGTTGTATAGACCATGTTACTGAAGGTCCCTTGTTTTTTTTTTTTTTTTTTGGGGGGGGGGGGGGGGGGGTTGGCACTAATGTGAAATTTGAAGACTGTTATGAGATCAACCAAGTTAAAGAACAATATGCCTGAAAAAATAGAGCAGCGCATCCCAACTCTGCTGTTTATTCCAGCAAAGAGAACCAAGATGCCTATGCCACAAGCCATCCCTCCCTTTTCTCTACTTTTAGTGTGCTATGTCCACTATTTCTAACACTAGTCATATTAAAAGACAACTGAATTATTTTATGCACTCTCAATGAACTGCGGTATTTCAGTGAAATTACTGGGCTTGCATTCGTCCAACATAGCAATGAACTTGAGGCAAATGTATTCTGAGAGGCACTGATTTAGCCCCAGGTAGATTTGTACAACTGCTGTTAAAAGTACCACAGATCCGCAAGGTCTCACCCCCTTTTTTCTGATGAAACAGACCTGACAAAGACATCATTTGAAGCCTGAGACTCACATTGAGGCACAGTGTGTCGAGGTACATCTCATTGTACTTGATGGAAGGGTTTTTCTCAGCAGCTTCTCGACAACAGTGTAGGAAAAGGCCATCAGACATCCGCCTGCATGAACGTGAGGCAGACAGAAAAAAAATTAAAAAGACAGGTTCAATCCCCAATCACTTCGCCTGACATACCAAAAATTAAGGTCCTAATCACCGTTAACATTGTCCAATACAGTGCAACAACAAACACATTGCAGACAGTCGAAAAAAAAAATGACGCTATATTTTTTCTCACTGCTAAGCTTGACACAAAATGCACTAACCTGCCAACTGTTTTCAGTTGCATAATATAAAAGTTGTTGAATGTTCAGATGTTCTCCCACAAAAAATTATTGGCAGACTATTTGGTTGTGACCTACAGAGCCTGAATATGTACAGGCATCTACAGTGGCACACTCTTGCTAGGTCAGCACCATTGTCCATGTTTCCTTATGCATTTCTTGAAGTGATGATTGGGGGGGTGCTAACACCCTCTGTAAGGTTGCTTGGGCCTCGTGGCACACACGTGTTTTGTGGATAGGCCGCATTGAGGATTGATAACCAGGGTAGGTGGCACAGTGATCGCATGCGATCGTCACGGCGATCATCATCATCATTATGGTTAGCGCGGTAGCACTAGAAGTGACGCCTAGCGGCGAGGCGAGGTAGCCTAACAGAAATGATTGGCGAGTCTATTTGGCGTGTGGTGGTTGGCGCGAACGGTCGTCTTTCTGCGGGGGGCCTGTGGAGACAGCGCTGCGGGCAGTTTCCCCATAAGCCCTCATGGTCAGTCGAGCGTTGGCGGCACCGCCGCTTTCGCGCTACCTTGTGTTTGTTGTTATGTTTGATTGAGTGTACCAGAATATTGTGTAAGGTCGTGTTTAGCACATTGATCAGTTGTGATGTATTTCGATTTGGCTGACAACATCGTTGATGACAAAGTAACTGAAAATAAATGTGTTGACTTGGGTGCGACCGTGTCTGCTGTGTCTGCACCAAGAGCGTGGCGCTCTCCACCTTGAAACCCTACATGATAGACTAAATTTAAATATCTGTTAAAATAATACATGATAGAATAAATTTAAACAACTATAAGTGCACGAGTCATGGTAGTAGAAGTGGCTGAATTGTGAAACAACAGGCTACTTCTGTAAGCACTTTTCTTTACTCTAATTTCTATTATTGTTTTACTTTCTCACGGACACTCATTATTTACACAACCAAAAAATTTTTGTCATTGTTTGGTTAAGTGGGCAGATTGGTTTTTGGAACTAAAAATGACAAAAACATCAATTTTGTAAATGTTCTTTTTTGTTTCTGCAAGCATTTTTCTATCTCTCTGCAAATTTTCGCCTGAACACGTGTAGCTGCAATGAGACAAGCTACGGATAGGGGACGTTAATTGTGCACGGTACGACTGTGTGCTGCTGGAACATTAGCTAGGCTTTTGCGTCAGCCGTACATAGGATGGACCCTCTACAATATTGAGGCCTGTTTATCGCGGCATCTATGGCACGTACAACAATCATTCCTTTTGCATTGAAACCATAATTGCGTAGAAAATTGAAGTATGGAAATTAAATTTTGTGCACAGCCCTTTTTAATTACCTAATCACCAAATGTGCAACTGGAATGCAAGTGCTTTTCAAAGTGCAAAGTTCATTCTGCATTAAAAATTTTAACAATTGCCCCAAACCCCTAAAAAGATCTGCTAGTTATATTTCAATCTTAATTTATTAAGCTATGTTTATATTTCAAAATGACATTTTAAATTAGGCACTTTCTATTCTACCATGGCCTAAAAGAAACGGGGCAGGGGTTAATTCGAGTTATCTTGGATCAAAGTAAGTTAGTAAAGATTGATCAAAGTTGATGAATGAATAAAAAAAAAAATAGATATCTAAGCTGTCTGCGTAATACTCAGACAGCTTAGATATCTATTTTTTTTTTCAGACCTATTTCATTGACCAGCACATCATGTAAACTACTCGAACACATAATCTTAAAACACATGATAGTATTTCTAGAGCACAAATTTTTTTTCCCCTAACCAACATGGTTTTCGAAGTGGTTTATCGACGGTAACTCAACTTACTGAACTAGTTCACGACCTTGCCATTACAGTTAATAACCGTGGTCAAACTGACTTAATTCTACTTGACCTATCTAAGGCTTTTGACTGTGTATGCCACAGCAAACTAATAGCTAAAGTAGAATACCTATGTTTTCGGAATAGGAGAACTTTCCGCTTGGATAAAAGCTTTCTTATTTAACAGGTCACAATTTGTACTCTATGAACAGATGTCTTCTAACACAGTAGCAGTAACATCCGGCGTTCCCCAAGGCTCGGTACTTGGGCCATTGCTTTTCTTGCTCTATATTAATGATATCACTGCTAACATCACTTGCAACATCAAGCTATTTGCGGACGACTGTGTGATCTATAGAGAAATTAATCATTACAACGATCACATTATGCTTAATGATTATCTAGCTGTCGTGGCTAATTGGTGCTCTAAATGGCAGATAAAAATAAACACAAAAATCAGGGATAATGACCGTAAGCAGAAAAACAAAACCATCCAACTTCCCATACACCATTACTAACACACTTCTTAATAAAGTTGAGGAACATAAATATCTAGGAGTTACACTGACTTCTGATCTCAAATGGGACAAACACATCGCTAATATAACTTCGAAGGCGCTACGCAAACTATTCTTCTTAAAACGAACTCTAGCGCTCTCAACAACGCCAACGAAGCTGCTACCTTACACATCATTCGTAAGACCAGTTTTAGAATATGCAAACACTGTCTGGTTTCCGTATTCGCTGACTAATATAACCAAACTAGAAGCAATACAAAGGAAAGCTGTAAGATTTATTTATAACAAATATAGACGCACAGATTCCCCAACACATCTTCTAACTCAGTCATGTTTACAAACGCTGTCCACAAGAGCAAAACACGCTCGCTTAAAATTCCTTTTCCAGTTAGTAAAAAATAACTACAACATAGATTCATCCAAATACCTTTCATTTTCACAGGCTCGGCAAACTCGCAATAAACATGCGCGCATGTTGTCAGAATACGCATGTAGGAACGACACGTTTAAGTACTCATTCTTCCCGCGCTCGATAGCGGAATGGAACCAAGATGATGCCACTATCACAAACTCCCAATCGCTATCAGAATTTATTGCACAGATAGAAAAAACTGGGTGTGCATAACAGTTTATACGCATGCAGGCGCACCGTTCCAGATCTGCTGTTCGTTAGTTAAAGCAACACCTTTTTCAATGTTCCTATCACAGTAGTATAGCTATTTTTGAAGTATGCTTTCAGTGCTTGCTATTCCTGTCACAACTGTTCCATTTATGTTTTCCCTCACGATACCAATGCTAACATAAGTTCCTTTTCTCAATCAAGTATTTATTTCTATCGCCTTTCGGCATGGTTTCAGCTCTGTATAATGGCTATAACTTGCTTTGTATCTTGTGATTATTGCATACATTGTGTATTAATAACATAATTAACGTTTAAATTCTGTACTGCTCAATGGTTATATGATCCTCATGTCCTGTTATTATGCTTGCATGTTTTTACGTCTACATCCTTTTTTTGTGCGTGTGAAATATTACTGTATTGCCCAACTGCCACGCTCTCGAAGGAGAGTAGCAGTATTGTAAATAAATAAAATAAATAAATAAATATTTAGGAACATGAGGGGGGTAATATTCCAATAAGAGATGCTGAGATTTCGATATTGTTCAGTGGTGCTAATGTGTCTAATGTGGCAAGTCAAACAATATACCAAATGCTATATTCATAGCACTACAAAGGTGATGTGTATAAATTCATGGAGACGGGCATAGGACCTGCACATTCATTTATTTCTATATATGGTGATGTTGTATTACTGAGAGAATGAAATTATGTACGAAGTCTACTCATACATAGTGATGAAATAAAATCTTTGACCAATAATAACCTTTTTTTTTTGACATTTCTCACCCATTTTTTACTAAAGAAATGTAATATAAGCAGTCGCTCTTGTTTTAGATGCGAGGGCATCTAATGTGAGGGGCAGAGTCTGTTTTGCAGTGTCCCCACCCACACTGCCCATGCACAACTCTCTCTCATTCTCTTCCCCTATGCAGGTGTGCACTACACACCTCCACTCTCCCCCTCTGCTCTCCCCCACAGGTGCAGCGCTGCAAATCGTTAAACATAACTGTCTCTCACTCTCTCTCTAACACTACACCGGTAGGTGGCGCAAGTGTCGCGGCACAGTATAAAGCGAGCCTTCGATGTGCTTCCGTCATTCTTTCTATGCAACAGTGCGAAACGCCACGAACGTCAACATCGGCGCTAATTGCAGCGACAGCATTACCGCCGCGGAGCAGGGAAATGCTCGGGAAGCTGACTGTACACGTCAGCACCGGACCCCAAACATCAAGCCAGGGAAGCCAACGTAAACCTCAGCAGGAATTTTCTATGGAAGCAACATGAGCTCAACACGCCGAAGTATAATGCTACACTTCACCAACCACAAAGCCATTGTCTTTAAAATACCGCACGCACCGACGCTAGCAATCACACACAATCTCTAATTAAAGACGCAAGGACTTGCACTAACGTCTCCTCTCTTCTTAATACATTCACTCACTCTCAACTTTCATCGAGTTGTGTTGTCAAGTGAAACGAAGCCAGAACTCGATGTGCACCCTCCGCAATGTTTTTGCATTCGATCATCGCTTGCCGTACGGGGAGAAGATGAGTAATTTTTTTTATTTCGCAAATGAGTTTATTAACTCTGAAAGCCCCATATCCGTTCAACCACAAGACAAGTGTATGCTGTCAATCCATGTGCTTCTTCACACATTTCTCTCCACAAGCTAGAGCTGAAAACTATTCTCATGGCGAATTCCATTGAGATAACAGGAGTAGAGGGGCAGTGAGAACAAGGCCTCTCGATCTGCCACTCGAATGCAGCACACTACCGGGGAGCAGGTGAGAGGGTGACGAGTGGGGAGACCATGTGATTGAAACATTCCAGCCCCGGCATATTCTCTGCGGGGCAGCAGCAAAATACACGTGAAATCGGTCAGCCACTTGTTCTTCGTTATTCCACTACATATTATTCTTGCGCAACGACACATTCGGCAGACGTCCGACTGTCATTGTCGCCACCAGTACAAATCAAGTGTGAACCTACACATGGTTGCTACCATTGCCGCCGCACTCGCCGGCTGAAGAAAAATTCCGCCGGCTGAAGACTGACGTTCAAAGGTCATGTGACTCTCGTTGACAGTACCTACTCCGCTCTTCAGACGAGAGCACTACAAACTGCTCCTGGCTGCTCACGGCGCAACAAAAGCACTCTCGCTCTACCAATAGATGACAATGCTCTTATACTCCTGTTTGACCACTGAAACACGCTGACTGTGAAGCGAGCACTTTCAGCATACACTTGAGTGCTCCTGCTCTCCCAATGAAATCCGCCATTAGTAAACAGCAGCTATAGCTAGGACATAAATGCAGCAGCATGTTTTGATGAGCCTACGGTTGTAAGCTGATACTGCAAAAGTAAAGGAATGCTCACATGATGTTAGCTTTGTGCACAGCAGTAACCATGCTTCGGTTATTTGCTTTGGCATACTCGAATGCATAGTTGGCAATGTTTCTTGATGCAGGCTCGGTGATCAGCTTGATACTCTGCACCACTCCTGGTACAATCTGCATCACAATGTAAAATTCAGAGTAAGTAACAATCTCTTTGGAAGGAGGGCTGTGGGAGGCACATGCGTTGAATGATACAAGCAGGAAGGCTAGTTGGTGCATTGTGGAAAAAAAAAAAAAAGACGATGCAGAAGACGGAAATCACAATAGATGGGGCAATTAAGAACTAATCATTCTCATCGAATGTAAATAAATACATGGCACACAGACACACTGGCAAGAAAAAAAAAACTGCGCATGCACACATAACAACTGATTAAAAAAAATTACGTATATACACAAAGCAGATGCTGATGATGGAGCAAAGCACTGTGTAATGGATTGTGAAAATCCGTGAAATAATTATATAATGTTTATAACACACATATATAAATGTTCATTGTTTATGACTGCGTAGTTTTGGATTTTATTTTCCTTAAAGTTTGAGTGCTCTGTGATCAAACATAAGAAAAGACTAGGTTGTGCAGCGGCTTTCTTGGCCTTTGAATCTGCTAGTTGTTAGTGTCCTATTTTCCCGAACCCTTCAGGCTCCATTTACATAGAGTCTACTGTATTAAAAATTTCGAAGTATGTGAAATGAAAGAATGAATTTATATTAGTATAAAACCTGTTGAAGAGGTGGTTTCACTGCAGTGAAGGGGTGCTATACCGAGAATACACCTGAGGAGAATTCGCTTTGCTGCAAAGCCCCACTTCAAGGTTAAACATTTTACTCTGACATCGATTCGCCATTTTTAAAGTTAAAATGCTTCTTATACTGGCTTATACACTCTAAGTGTAGTAAATTTTAAAAGGTGCTGTACTTTACAGGTTGTCACTTGCATTCTACCGAAGGAAAAATCCTGCCATTTTTCTACCGAAGCAAAAATCCTGCCAAGAAGGTACGCATTTGCACATGTAATGTTTAAGTAAGAAAAAAAAATTGTGCAGGATATTTAGATCATGACAAATGTGCTGATTTTTCTTTACATGAGATATATATACGGTATGAATTTGCTTTAAAAATATTCGACCAAATCACTATTTGCTTCGAACTTAAAATTTATTATTTGCACAAGCCTTTTGATAAAAGTCACACAGAAAGAAGAACAAAGACGGAATTAGCAGAAAAACACTTGTACTACGTTTAAGTACACTTTTTTTTCTTTTGTACAAACACTTTATTACAGCACTAAAAATTAACGAATTGTCCCTCTGTTGCTGTTCTACTTAACAAAGGGGTAGCTACATTAGCAAACGTTCTTCCATTCCCATATACACAGAATGTTGCGACAAAATCTGGCCTAAACCTTTGTTGCTAAGTGGATTTCTGCAGAAATCCCAGCGTTCCCTATATGTTGAGTTTGGCAGTACTGTGCCATTGCTGAGAAGACCATTAGCATGTGTGTGCACATGCTTTGTGCCCTCTCCTCCAAATAAAAAAAAAAGGAAAACCGGGTAACTGCAAAAGCTGGGGTGATATTTGAACAGGAAGGTGGGCATGCTGAATTGAGAGAGTCAAGAGGAAACACTCGGTTAAAAGGAAGCGTGGGATGTTCGTTTTGAAGGGTATAACAGACAGGAAGTAGGCATTTCAGTGAATTGTGGTTGCTTCACAATGATATGCCGATTCTCCTGACCATAATATCATGGTGATAAGCAAGGTTAGAAATTCCTAGAAGTAAGGCTTTCTTTTTTTTGGTTTTCGTTGTGTATGTACCGTATCCGATGGATTAAAGATGGATTCCTTTCGTGTGCATAAAGAGTATGTCTCTGTAAATCACTGCGTTGAAACGCCCATTTCTGACCAAGACGCCAGAAACTTGACAATTTCTCGTTACTCATTGTGAACTGGATATGTTTAACATATATAAGACGTTGCGCTAAGTATTACACAATGTTGCTTTTGCACTAAACAAATTTTCAGCATTGTACCCTTCTCATGGGATAAGCAAATAAAAGTATATTCAGTGTCTACTCCCTGATTTTCTACACTGTAACCCATGAAATATGAGGTTGAGGGGATTGTGCAAAGAAAACTCACCTCATGTTCAATGCCACTGTATTCTCCCTCTGTGTTTTCACGGATCGTTACAACATCCACATCCTTGTATGGTGTTTCAAAGCCCTCCAGTGAACGGCATGGTCTCACATTAGCATAAAGACTAAATGCCCTGAAAAGGTGTGAACATAGCATAAAACCACGAGGCATAACAAAAGAAATGGAAATAACAGGAGCAAACTAAGTATTAACACAATTTGGCCAGTCTTTTCAGCTATGTTGTTATGTTTCAAAGCTCAGTCTGGTCACGCTTACAGAAATGTAGTGTTTAAAAAAAAATGGGACAAAATAAGATGCAGCTATGCACAGACGAATTGCGACACTACCGTGCGTACACAGAGAATCTGTTTCTTTAGAAAAATTTTGTTGAAAGTGGTGTCCCGTATGTGCATCTCTCCCCCCATAGGTGTAGTAGTCTGCATCTTTCACCTCAGAACACAGGTTTTAGAGTTTTCTTGCACTTGAGCAGTGTGGGCAAAAAAAAAAAAAGTTATAAAACTCGCACTTGCTTCCTTTAAAAGTGCATGTAGCTCTTATTTATTTATAACGACAATTTAGTAACCTTGTTAGATGCTGTTTAGCTATTCCAGAAGCATAATTGACTAACTTGCAATAACTTCACATTATTTAGCGCCCATTCAGATAGAACTTCAACAATGCTGGCAATAGCCTTTCCTTAGACCTGGGGAGTTGCAGTGGCCAGTAGGGGCCAGGAAAGAGGGTCTTTCACATGATAATCCGTCAACTGCATGGCTTTATTACAGTCCATTATATAGGGAGTATGCTCATACAAATGATTTGAAACAAGCACAAAGAAGAAACTGTGAAGTACACAATTATAAAAAAACAACAAAATACAAAGGTAAAATGGACCACACTTACTGTCTCAGTGCGAGGTTGAGAGAGCGATGGCCTTTGCCAATTGGTGTCATCAGAGGACCTTTGAGGCCAATCTTGTTCTTGTTGACAGAGTCAATGGCTTTCTGTGGGATGCCAAACTTTCCATCCGGCCCCTTCACTGGTGTGACGTCCACAGTTTCCCACTGGATTGGCACCTGAGAGTACAAGCGAATTGTTACTCCTTTTCGACGAGTAACTGAAGTGGCAGTTCACTCTGCTCTTACGGGAAAAAACAAAAAAAACTAGTACAACTTCCCCCTTCGCTTTGCCTCCATGTCGTGTTCACGAGTTTAGCGTCCTTGAGATGAACTTCCATACCGATGTGCTCTGCTATTGATCGCTTCTGCATACTTCCATGCACTACATGTACTTCCTAAGGATATACCTCATTGTAAGACATTCTTCAAGTTGCCATTCAGGTTCGCATTACAAAGCTTGCGGAGCTATATAACACTCTCTTCCCCCTCCCTTTAGGTGATTTTGCCTGCTATCATAAATTATTAATTCTTTAAGTTTTACATGCCAGAACCATGACATGATTATGACAGATGTCCATAGTAGTAATATTTGAGAAATTTCGACCACCTGGGGTTCTTTAGCGTCCACCTAAATCAAAGCACACGGGCCTCCAGCATTTCACCTCCTCCGGAATGCAACTGCCATGACCAGGATTCGATCCCGTGGCCTTTGGATCAGCTGCCGAGCACCATATAATCACTCAACTACTGTGGTGGGTAAGTTACCACAAGATTTTTTCGTGCCCATGTCTTGCCATTTTTCTTTTCCATATGCTTTGATCTGCAAGTAGCTCGTATTTTTGTGCACCGATTCATGTATGTACACATATATTTTGTTTTGCGAATACAGTTCTTGTTATTTTCAAATTGCCCTCTGCCATAACACTCATCTGCTGCGGTGGGTGAATGAAATAAATAAAAACTGCCCAGCCAAGTGTTGCTGGGCGGTTTTTACTGACAACTACTAACAAATTTATTTGTGTAACATCGGAAGCTGAGTTCATTAGTTAGATGAAACTGCCCACAATGCTACCTACAAGGAGCCCCCCCCCCCCCCCCCCCCTCTCTCAGCCTACAAAATTATTTGCACAAATTAAAAGAGCTATCAGCCTTTGCAGGACACCAAGTAATGAGCACCTCCAAAATCAGATGATGCAAAAAGCCGGGGTGTTTTCTAGACAGAGTGGGCCAAGAATTGGTTTAAATGATTAGAAAAAAGAAAAAAATAGAGGGTGACCTTAATTTTAGGTCTGGCAGTCCCAGACCACCAATTTCCCATGGAGTGGGTGCCCTCCCAAGCAACTATTAACTTCATTCGTGCCTGTAACCAGTAGGTGCCTGCTGGCAGCAATTCTCTGCCTCCCACAGCAGCAGCGGATGCTCAATTATTTCACCAAGGCAGTGGTAGGTTAAGGTATGCCCAGGGTCCTTCGCAGAACCTTGTGCGTCTCCCCTTCGAGATGAGTACCCAGAAACAACCGAGCGCCAGGACGGTCTACTCCCCTACCCATTGAAAAAAAAAAACAGGTGAATTCCCAGTCGACATTAGGAATCGAATGCAGTACCTTCAGCATTGGAAGCAGACACTCGAACCATGTAGCCACTGCTGCAGTGAACATGATCTACCGTGTGAACATAATCTTGCACTGAAGAGTTAGCAGAACTTGAGTGGTGTTACATTGAATTTCGTTCTATACACAAGATGAAACAGCTCAGATTTGAATACTTACTCCGGCTGTTTTGAATATATCTTGTACTGCACTGGAGATTTCAGGACCAATTCCGTCTCCAGGAATAAGTGTCACCGTGCGAATTTCAGTGGATGCATGCCGCTTTGCAGATGCTGCTCCAAGAGTACGCTGAAGCAAGGTCTTCTTCAATGAGTGAAAAAACATAACAATAGTAAGGTATTCCATTTCAACATCACAGCAGGTCTTTTTGATTACGCGTGATGTTTACTGTTATTCAACAAGACTTTTTTTTTTTTTCATTATTCGCACATGAAAAATAAACTCAGCGAGCCGCCTTGTTCATCATGTTCTGCTTGATCACTACCATGTAGTTGAGGTCCCTTTTTGTCACATTAATTTGCTTTCCAATTCATCCGTCCCAAAGCCAGCTCTTTCTGTCACCATTCTCAGAAATTCTGCATTTTAATAATTTCCCATCAGCAATTACTAATACATCTACTAGCTGCCAATGAGAGGTATTGCTTTTCTCTATTAAATATTCAGGAATGGAAGGTACTCAACGGAAACATTTTCCATTATCAGGCACACAGGTGATAAAAGTATATTTTCTGATAGATCAACCAGGCTGTTCGCCACTACTGATTGGTGCTACAGCAAACTATAACCTCTGAAAAAAGAAAAAAAAACTAACGACAAAACGATTTAACGAGCAAGAACAACTGGTTCGTTATCGCTCTGGCATGGCGTGCCAGATGTATGACCTACTCGTCACGATCGCTCGCAAAATACACCCTTCCCTAACGCAGCAGTTCAGGCGAAGTTATTTCAGCGAAGCGCGCATATCTCATCATCACCGCCGGCCGACGCAACGGTGGTTGAAGTCATCCCGATTACGTAGGTCGGAACGTAATTACCTGAGCGCCGCTTGTTGTCTCATCAGGTCACATAAAGTTCGGGGCAACAGTAAAGCAGCCAAGGTCGCTGACCTTGGGGCGGGGTTAATCACAAAATCGTGAATGACTAGTGCGCGTCCATCACTCCGCGGTAACATGATCGGCACAGGTACGTGGGGCTTCATTTACGCAACAGAGCGAATTTAACGAGTGATAAGCAACTATAAGCGTTTCGATTCTATTTACCACGAGAAAACATGTCCAGGGAGCAAAAATTGCGGACAAATGTGATAGAAAAGTCACAAAGTCACCATAAGGTCAGCCGGTTCGAAAGAAGGCGCTAGGATAGTTTTATTTGTGAGTTAAAAAGTCGTCACGGCTGCATTAAATGCAACTCGGCGTCAGGCGTCGTAAAGACAGCGTGTGTAAGCAGCCAAGAGGTACTCACCGAGACATTTCTTAATACACCGGGCATCTTCAGCGGCGAAAGCTCCCGAACTGCAAGAGCACGAGTTAAAAAAGAAACTTGCCGTCTCCTGCCGTTTTACGTCGCGCTTTTGCTTGGCTACAAAAGTAACTACAAGCTACACACATTTCAACGCCATTGCACACTTAAACCAATTTAATTTACGACGCAATGCAGTAAATTAAACCAACATCAGTAGCACTGCTTTATTGAATTCACTTATTTGTAACTTATCTAATTGGCCTGCTGTTATTTTGTAACTTGTGAGGCCTGTTTGAATTGTTTAGATGTCCTTAGCCGAATAGCAGTCATTTTTAATAGCTGGTTCAGCAACACTGGGACAAGCATGGATGAAGTTGTTTTGCTCGCCGCATGAATCGCCTGCATTTTCATTTGTCCTTCTGAAAATTCGGAATTACCTGTAGAAATGCGGCTGACGTCGATTCTTCTGAAGGCATCTAAGCTACCGAAGGACTATGCAAATTTCCCGGAATCGTACGTGAAGCGAGTGATGGCTCAAGTGGAGTGGCGAACACCCAAGGGACCGCAGTACCGTCGTGCTGTGATTCAGCGCAAGAAGTACTACTTCGGATTGTCACGTCCCTGGCAGGCGGACTTCTGGAAGGAAAACATGCCTGGGGTCCCCAGCAAACACGTCCATGTCGAGCCTATCGTGTGGACTGTTTTTAGAGGTGATCGGGTGCGTCACTTCTGAAAATTTATCAACTTTGCGTCGTCGCTTGTCGATGATCGCGTTGTAGTTTCAGTTATTCATATGCAGTAACGTCGACTTCCTTCATGGTCTTGCAACAAACTTATTTCGGTGGGTTGCACGGATGGAAGAATAGGAGGACTAGTGATTCTATCGTTTGTGGGGGCGTCCGCAACTAGCGGTTTCTATGCTTTGTTTTTCAGATTGCGATCTTGCCCAGTAGCTGCACCTCGGAACAGATGTGCTTTTAACGTGGAGTTTGGGTTAACAGGTAAAGTTTACTGGGGCTCCATGGCGTTTCTTCTTTCTTTTGCACAGGTTGAAATCCTTGTTGGAAAGGACAAAGGAAAACAAGGAATTGTGAACTACATCGTCAAGGAACGAAACTGGGTTTGTGTGGAAGGGCTGAACTGCGTAAGTACAACCTCAGTGACCTGGAAGACGTAGTACTTTCCGTCTGCACTTGTTCGACCTAGTTGCGATTAGATGTTGGAGTATCAACTTAACTTCTGGAGAAGCGATGACATGCTATCAAAATGTACGGGGCATTACATTGTATTCCCTTTCATGTTTTTTTCTTCAGGAGTTCAAAACTGTTGGCATCGGTAAGAATATGCAAGCCCTGAAGACTGAGATGCCTCTGCTTGTCACATGCCAAGTTGCATTGGTGGATCCTACAGATAAGTGAGTGTTTATTTGTCAAGCAGGCTGGGTCCACTGTATAAGCGAAACATATTTCTATTATTTAAACAATGCAAAATATGAGGACGCTGAAGAAGCAAACACAGAAAGCCACACTCGCAGCGCTTTGCATAGTATTTGTGTGTGCTTTTACGGCATAACTGTTGTGGTCGAAGCTTGCTGTGTGTCATACATAGACAATTATCATCATCATTGAACTGACACATTCTCAATGGCCGCCAAAGCATTTTTTGTACACGTGGTTAATTAAGAAGCCGAAACATGCCCACCAATTCCGCTGTGATCCAACCTTGCACGACTTTGTGGAAGGTGCACTAATTTTTTTCGGCATCCTCATATTTGCTGCTGCTTTCTGCAATTATCATTTGAAAAAAATATATCATGCTAGTCGACGCCCTCATCTTGCTAAGGCCAACTCTGCGTGTCATGTGACTCTCTCTGTACTTCAAACTTTATGTTGTCTTCCAGTATCCAAGTTAAACTCTTATGTTAGTTGCATCAGTGTGTTGCCTATAAATTGTGGAGCATCCAACTTTCAGGGACATCAGTCCTATTCTGTGACAATTTCTCTTTGCTAACTTGTTCTGTCAGTATCTAAAGGTATGTTAGCATGTTTACATAATTATGAGTACAAATTGGAGCAACCGACTGGAGGAGGACAGAAGAGAGCACACAAAGCGCTGAACTCCCAACAACTTCTTTCTTTGGAAAACCTTCGCTTTTATACAGTTACACACTGCTTCAACAGCCATGCACAGAACATCATCTTTTAAAGAAAAAATATTTCCTGGCCAAATAGTTTGGCATGTGGTGCGATATCTGCGTTTTGTGGAAAGGCGTTAAAAATGCATTTTGTGAAATGAGTGTTTTGGTCTACACCCACATGTGCTATGGTAAGCGGAGAGCCACCCTTCATATCTGTATAAAAGCAATGGCTTTCCAGAGAAATAAATTGTTGGAAGTTCAGTGCTCTGTGACCTTGCTTTTGTCTCCTCCTGTCAGTTGCACTGATTCGCACTGATAATCATGTGGCACCAACATGCCCAATTCTTCTGGTTACATTGTTTTCAGCCATATAATTGAGGCTGCAATGCTGACAAACGCCTAGCATCGTGAAAGTGAATCTAATCCTCTCTTTACTGATTTGCTTCAAGGAGTATAGCAGATAAGCAGCTCACTGACATGGTATGCATGATGATACATGCAAGGTTTGTGAAAACAAGAGTATATGGAATCACTTTATGTGAAGTGTCTGCTACCTGCTGTTTAAATAGGAGCTGGTTGTCAACACTTTTTAAGTCTCTTCCGTGCTTTGCTTCATTTCTGTTCAATGAAATTGACCTCCACAGATGCGACATAGGTATAGCGACTTCACATTACCTTTTGCCAAAATCTTATGCGACTCAAGAAAGTATGTTCTTGTCTTCTTACTTTTCTACTTCAGCAAGCCAACAAAGGTTGAATGGCGATACACAGAAGATGGTGAAAAGGTCAGGGTATCTGTACGTTCTGGCCGAATCATACCCATTCCCTTGATGGCTGAAGAAACATACGATTATAAGTCCAAGAGTGCTTATGCTGGTAAGTAGATTTTAAGACGTCGCCATCACAAAGGCATTGCATTTATATCCAAATTACTGATCTAGCAGATAATTACCCAGTTTGAGATGATTGGAAAGTGCATGTCAGTTTTAGTTATTGGTACTTTGTCATTAGCATAACTTGAGTGTTTTGATATTTAATCTTTAGTGACATCTTCTGTATGGTGGACTTGCTGAAAGTGGTACTAAATTTGTAGGTGTGATATGAAGTAAAGTTTTTCAAAAAGGCCCTGTATGGGGCCTTTTTTTATCATTCTTCAAGACATGCACATGGCACTTTCCAATTGTGAACATCTGCCCACTCCAATTACCATAGTTTTTCATTCTAATAATTAGTGTGTCATGTGCAAGTTTGTTTGTGGCAATTGTTCGCTGCTAACGCATTTCTTTGTCTGCTCACCTGTCTGCTACTCAACTTTCCAAGCAAAATTATTGTCTCAGCATTGAAAACATCTCATGCACAGCATATTTTTGTTTGAGCATATTTCCAAGTGTTCTATTTCTTGTTCACAAAGCTTTTTGAATCACTGAAGCCATGTAGAAACATTATTTATCCACAGGCTGAACAAGCAGTCACAGGTTGATGATCAGATGTTGCTTTTATGTGCATGTCCTGGCGTGGTGTAGTTTCATTCTTCATGCTGGGGGACAAACCAAGGATAGAATTTAGTTTTGAAAGTGGGTTTTCCTGATTCCACACCTCAGGCTCACCAACATTACTAATGGCATTGGAGATGTTTGTGCATAGTTTGAATGACATTGATGAGAATGGGAGCTAAAAAGTTTTGGCCTTACTGTTTTGCTACTACAAATGATCTCAGACTCCATCCTTTTCCTGAACCAAAACTAACTTGTCCAGCTCCAAAGCAGCTCCTAAACACAGTTATTTCTGCTACAGATCTGCTCCAAATAAACTTTTTTTCTGCCCTAAAACTGCTCCAAATCAGAAACTGGCTGGATCACCACGGCTGTGCATTAAGTAATTGTGAAAGGCACTTCATGGAAAAATTTCTATACATGGAAAATCGCTTAAAGTGAACGAACGACTTTTTCTCATTTAGATGCTTGTTTCACTGCCACGCCCCTTATAGGCCTTTTCACGAATGGCTTCCTGGACGCTATCATAATCCCATCAGAGCTGCTCTAAGTAGGGATGACCCCCCCATGACGTTGCGAGATTAGTCTTCGTGCTCCCCTGCGCAACCCAACATGGAAGCATTCTTTCTGTCCCTTGAAAAGGCCTATATATATTTTCTGTTATGTGTAGACATATTTTCCTAGTCTTTCGGGGTTCCAGTCATTAGATTATACTTCATGTCATTCAGGAATCAAGTAATCATTCTGCATCATAACTTTTTTTTAAAAAGAGGTATAACGCTGGGGCGTAAATTTAAAGGGACCCTGAAACGGTTTGACAATTTTTTAAAAATACATTGGGCCGGTAGACTAAGTCCCAAGGATAATTTGTTGACCGATTTGAGCCCTCTGCTTAAACTGTGTAATTTATTACAACATTTAATGCTGTGAGTTGCTCCAGATCGCTGGGACTCGGCCAAGTGCGTTTTCAACTGCCATACACTAAGCGACACGCTCTGCCCCACCGACGTCATCGTTTCCAGCTGATTTGATTGGCTGTGGAACGCGCAGCATGGACTGCCGATATCAGATCAGCAGCGGGGTTTACGCATATGCGGTCTCACGCCACATCGTGACACAGGAGCCGTGAAGGCTGAGCTTAGCCCTGAGCGCTCGAAGGAAGAGTTGAGGGCAGTTAAAGGTGAAAAGCGGAGCGGAGGAGGAAGGTATTTTTTTTAGTACTCATAGCTCCGTTAATAATGGGTGTTTCGAGTGAACTCTGGTGCCAATGATTTGCTCCAGTAGTCTTATAATCAAAAACAGGATTTGAAAAAACCGCTTCAGGGACCCTTTAATACAGTCAATATACCCATGAACAATGATAGCATCGTCCACTTTTGATTGCTTTCCATGATAAAATAAACTACTTGTTATGATACTTTAGTGTCACGATATAAAATGTCGTAATTGAATCCGGCTATAGCATGCACCGAAAATGGCTCTCCGTGTAAACGGCTTGCGCCACGAAGCACCTCGCATCACGCCCACTCTCTCAGAAAACAAGTCGACTGTGTCTTTTACCAGAGGAGGAGGAGCTTCTTTCCCTCTGAACTCCCCTCACGGATACGCGGCTTCGGCCTCTTCCGCACACCCGATAGCCCCAACGATGCCTCGCTCCGCACGCTCGCTTGCTCGCCTGTTGTGTACACCAGGCTTTGACTGACCTTATCATAACTGCCTCTAATTGAGCATCCTACCTAGGTACTGTCATTGCAGGAGGCCTAATGATGATACAGTTCCTTCAGGACTTAGTTTTTGTGAAAGACCCCTGTTCAGCTATGTGGAGAACTAGATGCTCTTGAGAAAGATGTGCACCAGCTTCGCAGGAAGCAATCAAAGCTGACAGCCCTATGGATTTACGGCAAACAAGTGCATAGTTGCATTACTTTACTTGCATTCAAATAAAATGTTTGGATCTCTTTTGCTTTTTTTTTCCTCTACCCGCTTATAACAATAATAAGCTCTAATGATGGTATTTCTTTGGAATTTGGATATCATTATGCACTGTTTTTAATTGCCATTTACTGCACGAATTTACCTGCTGCAGTAGATATTATGAGTTTTCTGCAAAGGGTCGTGGCTGCATGTTTGATACACTGCAGCAGCGTAATCAAAATGTGTACAGAAACATTCACCTGCTTAGAATTGGCTACTCTCATAGCCTTAGTATTGTCTTAGAGTCTTAAGCCCTTTTATGAGATCAATATTTCGATAGCATTGTTCCTCACTGTGAAATCTTTTTCAGACCAGTAATGTTTTTTTTTTTTTTTCAGAGCAACCGAAAGACACCAGGGCAAAGGAGCTTGAAAAGATTACCTTTGTTCCAAAACTGATGACATTTGAACAAGAGATAATGAAGGAACTTGGCATCAAGGAAGACAGAATTCCCGCTAAAACGTATTGGTATTAGACAGTATTGTAAGTGTGAATAAAGTTATGTTTTAACATCAGTGTGGCCACTGTCATGTGACAGTGCTTTTTCCGGTACTGCTAAACTTACAACTGACCTGTTATTATAACTATATTTTAACAGCAGACCTGTTTTATGCCGGCCTTCCTTCATAAGACGAGAACAGAAAACTATCATCATCACTATCCGTCTTGTTCCTCCCCGTCTTCTTCTTCCCCTTCTGCTCCACAACCAGAGCACGAGTACGAGTACGGAACCACTGTGTTCTCGCATCCACTCGGCTATCCAAGAACACTGGCAGAGCCTAACATGGCATGTGTATACAAAGGAGCTGGCAAAGGGAAGTGAGAAGAAGGGAAACAAAGACACAAAGACGGCTCCGCACTTCCTTCAAGTTCAACACCTCTGGTGCAAAACTGACTTAGTTTTAATGCGATAGTGTTAAAGAGCTCGTGTTGCAGAAAACGTGCCGCCGGCGTCTGCCCTGTTGGTTGTGAGTGAAAAATCGTCTGTGCGTCTGTGACCGAAAAATCAAGTTACTGAGATAGCCGAGAGAGGCCACCACTTGTCTACGCATGCGCGCGCGATCACATTGAAAAAGTGTGCTCAAGGTCACGAGGCGCGGTAGTTTCTTTGCCCTGCCACCCCTCCCTGCTTAGCTTCCAGCGCTTTCGTCGACATGAGAGAAAAGATAATGCAATTGCAGCTTGCGACAAACCTTTGTAATTCCACTCGCACTGGACAGATTCCTAAAATTTTTGCGGCGTTGAATTCGTGAGGCAATAAGCTCTTCTAGTGAATTCATTCCATGGTTACTTAAAAAAGTGTTTCAGGGCCCCTTTAACGCATATTGTTCGACAGGTGTCACGACGAAAACGAGCCCATTCGGCGATAATAGCGCGTGCTGATCCAATCTACTGTGTGCGTGTGTGTGTGTATAAAACAAAACATATAAATAAGTATGTACTTAGTGGTTGAAGAGTGCACTAGGGGTTGGATTTCACTATAGTGTTCAACTCTTAAAGGCGAAGCTTAGGGGTCCCCCAATTTTTTTCTGCTTTTTATCTTTTGAATTGCCTCTTAGGTTTCTTTGCTTTAATATTGCTGTTCTACATTTATTTATCTTTGTCAACGTTTCAGCCTTGTTTCAATGCCATAGGACGTATGCCCCGAGTTGGTAGAATAGTTGCACTGTTTTCTCCCCTTGGAAGCATTTACTTTGCATCTGGTACTGGCTGCTCCTGTGTTGACTCTGTATAGCAAAGCAGAATTTTATTTGCACACTCCTTGGGCAAGTTATCTTTAGTCTTTGTCGAAATGCAAATGAGCAAAGACCACTATAAAGTTTGTAATGAAAATTGACACAAACAGCGCATGAATTTGTCAGGCGGTGTAAAAAGCCGGCAAAAAAGCATTAAAGAAAGTACTATGTTAAAATGGGTCGAGCATTTGTGGGAATCCTGTCAAGACCCATCCACTTTATGAGAAGATGAATCTCTACACTCTGTAATACTCGGTTATTGCCAAACATCTGCTAAGGCGTTTGGCGCGAACCTTCATGAGTTACTACTGGTGTACCTGGAAATGTACAAAAATATTTTTCAAAATGGTTTCCTGGTGACCTTGGCCCAAACAGTTTAACGAAATGCTTGCTGTTTTTTTGTTAGTGCATTTAAACATTTTTTTCTTTTAATTGTGCACTACCGTGACTGAGTTTATGCATAGATGTTCAAAGGTCTGTATTCCTTCCAATGTCACATCAGCTACATTTAGTCTGCTTCTCTTGTATATCCTAGAAAAAATATCGCTTCTGAGTGTCACCGCCATCTTCATCGATGGAGGGTGGGAAGGGACGGGGGTTAATTTTTTTTCCCTGAACGCAACTGCTGGACTTTAAATAAAGTTAATTAATTCATTCTGAATTGTAGCAATATTTTATGCCAGCACACCTTTTCTTTTAATGAACATATATTGGCAAAATTCGCATAGTATGTTTTAGAACTGTACACTCAAAACATTTTTAGTAAGGTGTTTTTTAACTTGCATAAATCTTTGAATTCACCTGTAGCAGAATAGCACAATTCTACTACTTATGATGTTGAGGTAGATAACACAGTAAGGAGAACGTTATTCGGGGAAGGCCTTAGCATTTATTGAGACATTTCACTACATATACTTGTAGAAAAAATAGAGTTGCACCATTGGCCTGAGTAAGCATTTTGCTGCATGTTTGTTAACATTAACTTCAAACTTCATGCCTTGAAAACTCATTAAAATATTTAAAGTGCAATATTCACCCTAAAATAACAAATTACCAACTGCATGCGGGAATATTTAAATTGAACCTTTATTTTGTAGAAAGCATGGCTCTCGGCTGCTGTGTGGGAATAGGTGGGGAGGAAATTAGGAATATTTAAAATTATTAATTCATGTGTCTTGTTCTCCACTGTATGCAGTGTCCGTTTCTTCAAGCAGTCTGGTATTATAATGCTGCTATTATTCATACAATATCAATTTTAAAAATTTTGTTAAGGCAGAAATATGTTTTACAGTGAAAAAAAAAAGACAGTGGTTAGACGTGCAAAATGTTTATTGGTTGTACACTGGTGTGGTTTGTACATCGAAAAACACGTGTTGACAACAATGCCACGAAACATTCACCCAAAGCCATGAATGTGCGCGACAACACCAGTGGGGATGGACACTTGTGCTCAACTGGGAGAGGTCCTTTTGAGAGTGCTGCATTACAAAAGTTTTTGTGAAATATACCTTGAGCACTGAATGCTGCATTACAAACAGTTTTAACATTGTGACACAACATTTGGTTTGTGTTTGCATTGCAATCGTGCAGTGATATGAGGAAGGGAATCACAAAAGACTGCTGAAGCGAAAAGCAGACGAGATGTGCTAAGAATAGGCTTGTGCGAGTATTCAAGTGCTTCGAATATTCAAACTCGCCTGGATTCAAATTTAAGTTATTGGAAATTCGTAAGTTCTCGAAATGAACGAATAGATGTGTATTAGTCCGCATGTGGCCTCCCTGTAAAGCTAGTTACACTGTAGCAGAGAGTTGCTATGCCACGAGTATATCTATCCAGAAAAAATCCTGCCATCGAGCCCCATTTCAAGATTAAATGAACATGCTACCCTCACATTAATTTACCTTCAAGTTGAAAAGCTTGTTATGCCAGCTCGTGTGCTCTAAGTATAGTAAATATTAAAACGTAACTTATTTTGCAGGTTGTCATTTGTATTCTATTAAAAGTCAAATTCTTCTGCTATTGAAAGTTGCTTCCACTTTCTTTAAACCAAAAAGAATGACATTTGTACATTTCTTGCTCCAATTAAAAAAAAATATTGTGCAGGTTAATTGCATCACAATAAATATGCTCATTTTTCTGTATATTATGTGATATATACCATTTCAATTTGATTCAAAACTATTTGAACCAAATCACTATTCACTTTGAATTTGCTTGAGACCTAAAATTTACTATTTGCACAAGCTCATCTAAGATGTTGAATGCACTGAGGTGATAATCGGCATCTTTCAGCGGAAACAAGATTTTCTTTTCTTAATTAAATTGTAACACGCATCGGCACACTTGGATGTTGAGAGCACAGCTCTGTTAACTTCTGGCTCCACTTGCAGCTTTCATAGGTTTACCGTCACTGACACAAAAGGTTTGTCATCACAACACGCTGCCTTCTGCAGCAACATGGAGCACACCCGCACAGGAGACTATTGTACAACAGCGCAGGATTGAACGCTCACGCGATACATACTGGTTGGGTAAAGCTGGCAGTTACGCACCAGTGGGCTGCACAACCATGGCACCTCAAGAGAGGAAATAGTAGCGGGAACCAAGATGAACACGGTACTCCTTTCTTAGTGTCATATCATGTACGATGTTTTTGAGTGTATACGCTGCCTCATGAGCTCTTAATATATTTTCTTGAAACCTGGCATGGTTCTTGGCACAATCAAGGTTCCAGAAACACTAACAGGGCTTTTTTTATACAAGCAGTGAGACCTTGTCGCAATTTTAACTTGTATTCCAAATGCTCATACCCTACTATGCGTTTCTAGTCACTCTGAAGTTGCATTTGAACGGCAAACGTATAACTAACCCTACTTCGACTTTCTGCTAAAGTTCTTAAATATTTGTAGCGGCTTATATGTGCAAAAGAAATAATACATCTCATCACATATGCCTGCCAATCTGTGCTTGTGTTTTTATTGATGCATGCTTACCACTTAAGTTCAGCTTACATAGAACACAAGCATTCAGCTGCATCACATGACTCGTGTGTACTGCAGTGGATGCATTACGAGCCTCTGAATGTGATGATTTTTATGAGTCAATGCAGATCACGCGTTGAAATTGAAGTGGGGACAATGACAACCAAGAATGCTGTCTTAATCTCTCTTAACAAAGACCTAAAAATGACTTAGTATAGCAACTAAGTGTAGGGAAACTTCACAGTAAATACTATATGCAAACTTGCTGTATAGGATGAATCAACAGGAAATTCACAATGTAATGTTTTCAAGGCAATACGCAAATGCATCTTGAGATAAAATAAAAGCATTGATGGCTGTCCTTATTGGAAACGAAATAACTTCTGAGGGGTGATGCACCAATGTTATTATTAGGCATGCTAACGTGGAGAATGAGTACCTAAATATGAGAACACCAGTGCTTTTGCATTTGCCCCTTATTGAAATGTAGCTTTCTTGGCTGAGATGAAGCCATGACAAAAGAGCTAATACATGTGCTATAACCTGAACATTTTAAAGCTGGAAAATAATCACTAGTTGTATCATCATCATTGATACTGCACTTTGTAAATAGTAGCATGTTGGCTTGGTTGACCATAATTGATTACTTACTTCAGGCACTATGATAATTTCAGCCATGGCAGGAAGCAGTGCCGGTGGCTGTAAAAGTATGACTAAACAACAAGAACTTGCATCACAATGGAAAAGATTTGCAGCATGAATATGCATTATATGAGTGGTTTTATACACTACTAGGG